TACAGGACCAACCGATACGGAGCTCGGATATAGATCTTTTAAATCTGAATGTACTTCCGAGCCCGACCGAATAAAATATGTTTGTTGTTTGTTACTATTACATGCGTTTCCTATACCATTTATATTTTATAAAGTCACGACGAAACTTTAGTGAGTTTTTTTTTTATTTGTGATAAAGGGTAATTGCAATTCCTACAGGGAACAGTTTGGAATAAAAATGCAAATATTATTTGAAAACATCATTTATTATATTTTCCTCAAAAAAGTAAAATTTTAAAATAAAATATTTAAACATAGGCATATACGAAGTAGAAGCGATGCGATGGGAACGCGACATCTATCGAATTAATTCTACGGTATTAGTTTTATTAGCTCTAGATCTTAAGCACTAGGTACTAGACTCTAGGCTGTTCGCTTCCCTCACCGCACGCTGCCACACCGGACTATTCAATAAAGATAAGACGTCAACGGAACTAAAAAAAAAAACGTGTGATTGTTAAATCTAAAAGTGAAATTTATATTAAAGGTACATAATATAATACTTAGAAAAAAACTTGGCAGTAAAATGAACATTAAATAATGCCGTATAAAGTTAATTTATTTTGTAGAAGCGCAGACAAGGCGACGAAGCGTTACTTACAATTCGAATTTATATTAAATGTACACTCAAACGTCGCCCGCAGCCATGCATCTAACATCTAGTAACTATGCATGAATGAGGAATCTAAAGGGAAATTTTTTGATAAAAATTTATTTAAATGCGACATTTTGGCAAAGGGCGACCGACGTTCGAGTGTCGGTGAGAAGACACTTTATAATGGAAATTAACACCAATATAGTTACGTAGTAGGTCAAATTACATTCAGATATATTTTTATAATAGCTTCGAATTAGCGAAGCTGTCATTGTGTAAAGGGACAATCACTGGGCATTATTTGTCGTAAATGTTGATAATTTTTATTAACATTCTCGAACGTTATTAAATTCCGTCGCAATGATATCTTGGTCAATTGTTAATCTAATAAAAACCTCTGGTAATCAGTTAATCATTGTATTATATAGAACACCATACATTTCTAGTTCAACTGAATTTACATTTTATTCTATGTCAATTACATACGTAAATGTATACATATATAAATAATAAATATCAATCTGAATTCAAACATTAAAACTCGTTTACTCATAAATAGCATCGCATTTAGAATTTTATAATATGTACTTTATAATTTTTTTTTAATTTAATACAATAATAAAAAGGAAATTAGTTTCATGTCAACAACTACACATAGGGTCGGGTGGGACCGTGCTGACGCGTGTTCAGTCGATCGGCACGCGCACCGTACAATAATTACGAAGGCGACATGAGACACACAAACGTGGAGCAGTCTTAAATAACGTTACATTTGTACGCAACAAAATAATAATAATAGTATATAACAATGTGAGTGAAGGCGGTTAGGCGGCCGCTGGTCGACACAATTTCGTCTTTAGCAAAGCTTACTGCGGCAAGCGCCGAGAGAAACGCGCGGCCGGCGCTGCGCGCTGCCCGCTCCCCGCTCCCCGCGCCCCGCACCCCTCCCCGCGCCGCACGCCGCGCGCCGCGCGCTCAGCTGCGCACACAAACACACACACCTCAACCAAATGCAACACTTTTTATTACTTTCATATCGCTTCAATATTTAGATTGGCCAATCCACCGATTGGCTTCGGGTCTGTTGAATTTTGGAGTTTTGAGTCTTTTGCTACTTAGATATTTTGAGGCTATAGTTTTAATATTTTGACATCATAATTATGATAATAAATTGTATCGGAACAAATATTGACTTTGAAATGTTGCAACAAATATTACTTTTAGCCATAAATTATAAAATTAAAAATACAAACAATGGATACATTCCATGGCATAAAAATATTATTTTACTATAATTAAAGCAAAACCGAGTGGAATTATTTGTTGTATACGCAAGTAGCCCATAAAATGCTGATAAAACAAAAAAGTATGTGTGTCAGCTCCGACGCACGACTAGTGTTTACTCCTTACGAACGATTATAAATATCAAAATTCCGCAATTAGACAGTTGGTTGCCAGTTGCTATTTGTTATATAAAATAGTACAGCCGAGAGTACTCTGTGCTGAGGGCTGCGCAAGATAAGTTGCGCACGACATTACGTAGTCATAGAAACATGAATACATAACGCATGACGTAACATTTGATTTTACTCCCCATAAATTTTCATACCCCAGACATATATATGAAAATCGATTCTTAAGGAGTAAACTCCAAAAAATAAATACCTCTTACATCCATTTATTTTACTATTTTAAAAATTACACACATTACTCTATAAAATAAATTTAGAGTTTATTTATCTAAACATAACTAATTTATTACGATTTATCACTGTATCAAAATAAACAATAGGCTACATATTACGCGTTGTAGTAGTAAGCGTTGAAACTAAGTTAGCAATAAGTATAGTAAGTCCTGTACTAAATAGAACTATCTTACACAGGGTTTTAGATCTTCCATATTGTTATAGTATAATAAAACTATCAAAATAATGGGAATAATATACATATAAACAAATACAAACAGAAATGCTCCACCACCTACAACTAAAACAAAGTAGATAATTACAAAATATACATACATAAATAATATCAATATCAACTAACTATGAGCTAACCAAACCACAAATCCAGACTGATGATGAAAAACAAAAATTTCTAATGCGAAGGTTTTGGACACCTTCGCCAAGCTCTCAGGTTAATCAACCCTGCCCATTATGGTATCGTAAACTTATCAAAAATACATCATTTGTCCAATTTTGTGGAAAGGCCGTATCCAGCAATTGATTCTAAACACTGAAAAAGGAAAATAATTTAAGTTTAAAAGCAATGATAGTATAATGCTGATTGTAATAAAAAATAATTATAAAGATATATAATAAAAAAATCAACCTTTAATAAAAAGTGATTAGTGATTACATTAAATAAAATATTACTCATATGAATTATCATGAAGCGTGCATCAAACTATTTAAGATTAATCGGATTATCAGTCGAAATAATGTGGGAGCCCTTGGGAATATGCTAAGGTATAATTAACGAGTAGGATGAACTACATACAATGGGGTTAACTTGGGTTAATCATATTAATGTTTAATAGTTAATTAGTGGGTCTCTTACAAGTGTTTAAATAAGTGTTTAACAGTTACTTCAAAACTTTTTTTTAAATTAAAACATTTTAAATTAACTAAAATATTGTAGGTTGGTCTAAATTTGTATAAAAATTATTGAGGCAAGACAAGTCTTATAAATTTATAGTTATCAAGGAGGTAGAGAAAAAGAAAGGAGAGGTAAAGAACGAAAAAAAAGACAGAGAGGCGGAATGAGAGATCGGGTTTCGTATGTATAATATAGTGTAGTAGACATCAATATTTTCTGTCATCAAAGGATATATTTTTTATTATTTGAAATTGATTGACATATCTGTATCTACAATTTCAAGGAAATCTTCAGAGATTTATTTATGTTTGGAGCTTATTTCTCGAAATAATATATTCACCCCTTAATAACTTCGTTGTATTTTGAAGGCAGAAAGTTCTTTTTATATAGATTCTATGTAGGCCGGCTAAGGGAAACGAACAGAAAATAAGAGATAAAAATGGGAGACAGACAGAGAGTGACAGAGAGGGAGAGAGAGAAGGAGAGAAAGGGAGAAAGGAAGAGAGAGAGAGGGAAGGAGGGAGAGAGAGAGTGAGAGGGTGTGACTGCATAAGAGAGCAAGTGTGGGAGAGTCTAATTATGTGCGTAAGATTACGTATGAAAAGTAGTTTTTTTAAAAGAGTTTTTATTTAAATGCGTAAAAAAGAATAAAATAAATATTTTATTTAAAACTTTTGCTATCAATTTACAAAAGGATTACACAATTTATATAATACAATAGCTTGTCGCGAGATTTAAGTACTTGTATTTACTTGAAAATTTAAAAAATTAAAAACAATGAGATTAAGTTATTTAATTAACATGCGAATCTCGCGATAAGCTTTTATATCAAATAAATTGTGTAATGACTTTATAAGTTGATAGGAAAAGTTTTAAAGGAAAAGTTCATTTTATTATTTTTAGTGCATTGAAATAAAATATTGTTTTTTTAAAAAAATACTTTTAATTTATTTTTTACTTTTTAGTTATCGCTGGACAGGTTTCTCAGTCTGTTCATCTCATTCAACGCATCAGTGTTGCAAGGTCATTTGTCGGTTAATTTTGAATAGTGTAGCTCTTTTCAGACGGATTGGAGCAACAACGTAGGTTATGATCACCATCTTATTTTTTTAACTCCTATTAATATGCTCAGCAAGTTCTTTCATTTGTTGCCCATATTATAGGAAAGCATAAAAAATTTATTCCGCCATCTTCAGAAAGTCCGCCATATTGGATTTAGAGTGACGTCACATAACTAGCCCACCATCTTAGGTGTTCCTCCATGTTGGAATTAGAATGACGTCACATAGCTAACCATGTATTGTCAATCAAACTAAACGTGTATACAAAGTTTCAGTTCAATCGGTTGAAGATATCTGCTTGAAAATTGAGTTGCAAGATTTCACCCGAACAAACATAGTTACATTGCAAGTTAAATAAAAGCTTGTAAAAAGGATAGTGTGTGAGAGTGTAAGTTTTTGTCATAGTGTGTGTGTGTGTGTGTGAGTATAAGTATAAGATGACAGTGGTGACTGTAAGGTCGAGAGAGAGAGAGAGAGAAAGAGAAGCTGTAAGTGTGAGATTGGTAGGGTGTGTGAGTGTAAGTATAAGAGTGGTGAATATAACTTTGAGAGAGAGAGAAAAAGATAGTAGGAGTAAGTGTAGGTATGAGAGCAAGATGATGATGAGTAAGAGGGCAAGAGGGCGAGAGGGAGTGAGGGAGTGAGCTCGTGTGGAGGTGCGCGCGACTAACTTGCGGGCGTGCAGTGCATGCATGCAGTGGCGGTGGTTAGGGCGAGCAGAGGAAGGAGAGCGTGTGCACTGACTTCTTCTTGAGCGTGAAGAAGGAGCGGCGCTTGGGCTCCTGGTTGGTGGGCGCGGGCAGCGTGTGCGAGCGCGGCGCGGGCGCGTGCAGGCGCGCCGCCAGCGCCGCCAGCCAGGCGCCCATCTCCGCCTCGTCGTGCGCCTGCAGCAGCCACTCCGCGCCGCTGCCCAGCCTGCACACGACCACACATTATATCGTCCTCATTCCTTCTTACTGTTCCAGCCAGCCCTCCACTACAGTCCCACCTGATTGCACTACTTGCAACACCCAAAAATTATATCATATATTATGTAACTTTGACGTCATATGTTTTTTATTGTGATATCTTTAACTAACAATAAAAATGTTTTGGTACCGGAAAATAACGGTAGCGTTATTTTTCTCACTAACTTATCGAACTTATATAGGTTTTCTTCTTTTTGTGGTTCAAAGTTACCTTAGTTTCCAATTAGTTTCTTAGAATTTCTTAATTGTCATTGTAAAAACCATTAATACTTATATTTATTTTTTTAATTTAATTACACAAAAAAATATTTTTGTTTACCAATATAATTTCGGTTATGTAAAGGTTACCCCTAAAAATAGCATTACCGTTATTTTATACCGGTGACAGTATCGGCGAATTTTAACCGCTTTCGGTCTACCTCTAAAAAATAACAATAACAATATCAATATTTTATAAAAAAAAAAATATAGCAAACGAGCATGCGGCTCACCTGATGGTGACTACCGCCGCCCATGAACAACTGCAACACCAGGGGAACCAGGGGAATTGCAGATGTATTGCCGGCCTTTTAAAAAGGAGTAGGCTCTCTTCTTGGTAATCGATTCCACAAAGAAGTTGTGCGAGGAAGAAAACATCTTCTAAATCGCAAAGTGGTGGACCGCCAATCATCCAGATGATGTGGATGGTATCGGGAGTTCTGCCGCAATGTGCGTTCGTGAAATTTGGCGGCTGGGATTAATCTGAACAATTCCTCAGAGCACTCCCCGTGGTAAACGCGAAAAAAAATGCAATAGGATGCAACATCTCTTCACAAAGCCAATGAATCGAGCCGATCGGAAAGGACTCAGTCGTCAACGATTCGAGCCGCTCTGCGCTGGATGCGGTCAAATGGAAGAAACTGGTACTGGGGAGCCCCTGCCTAGAGATGGGGACGTAACCTCATACTTTAACCGCAATAAAGTCCTGCCTGATGGTAAATGGTGATGTATCCTATCCTAAGATGATGAAGCGCAATGCCTCAACAAGCCTATTACTCTTGCCTTGAAGACATACACATTAAAGTACGATATAAGATAACGGTAAGATAGAACCATATAGTTACATTGAATGAAATCTAAAATACTGCAAATAGAGACCTGAGTCGGAAGACGTGCTTCTTCTTGGTGTAGTTGGCGGCCACCTCGACGACGGCGCCATTAAGGTCAAGCGGAGTCTCGCCGCGCCACGTCTGCTCGGGCGCAGACTTGAACGCCTTCTGGTCCTTGTAGAAGCTCATACGCCCGTCCTTCGCCACCGCGTATACTTTGTCCCACGATCTGCATGTAAAAACCAGCTCTTATTAAAATTCTATACAAGAATAAAGAGAAAATGATAAAAAAAAATCAATACATCAAAAATACCAAAATCTGGAAACACACATGCAGGCAGATAGTTTAGGCTCCTGTTTCCCATAAGAACAATATGTACGTGGAAGAAATAAATAAATTTTTATTATTAATTCAATTTTTGAACTACATAGTTTTTTTTTAAATAACGTTACCCCACACTAGGATTTTCTCCTGTATCGGGGAGGCAGTATACAAACACAAATTACACAAGGACAAACATCCAGATCCGGAACAATTATTTGTAGATCATACAAATAATTGTTCCGTGCGGGACTCGAACCCACGGCCCACAGCGCAGCAACTCATTGCTAAGCCACTGCGCCATGGAGCCGTAAAATAGTGGAAAAGTTAAGTAGTAACATTATTTTCTTGTCTTGAACCTGTAACTTTTTTATTTTCCTGAATGTTTGGTATATTTTTGTATGCATTACTACATATTATCATAAATGTATTGAATTAAGTAAAGATGCAAACCTGTTCGAAGCGCGTTTTGTTCCAGACTCCCACTCGTGTTTCCGCACTAGGTTGCCCTCGAATCCCTCATCTTCGCCGGAGGGGCTAGCACCTTCTGTACAACACAGCCACACAATGTATCAAAACATATAACAAACATAACGATAGCCAATAATAATGTATACGAAATACAAAACTACATTAAAACTAAAATAACTAAATGTCAAGGCGGCATCGCTAGAAATCTTATTTATTAGCTAATAATAAAAATTATGTTTTCAATAAGTATTATTCATTTCTGCAATTATGATCTCCGCCGTGACGTCACTACATAGTAAACAAAAATAAAACTATATCATAAAGAATTAAGTACATTTTAATATCACTTATGATAGGTTTGATACGTTCTCTTACACCTGTATATAAGTTTCACGAGGATTTGTAGACATCATTCTGAATGTTGTATTGGGATACTTATGACGTCATGCGCAAACAACACAACAGCACACTGAAAGCAGTAACTGCGGACGTTCATTCACAATATATATTCGACATGTGTGGATGGAATTTTTTAACTTCTCATGTCTCCTTTATTTATTAGAAATGAGTGTTACAGAATTCTGGAATCTCTCACATAATTTAGGGACTAAGTAGATACTAGAGAATATTATTCTGTTTATTACTATTGTAATTTGTCAAACTGCTACAAATATACAAAATGAAAACAATCACATTACAAGTTTAAGAAAATAAAACAACACGCGTTGAATAAGAGCTGTGACATTACAAGTTAATTATCTCGTGACTATGACCAGATGTTCTCACTAAGATCGTGTTGTCTTTTCAGAAAAATAAACATTTGACTGGGAAACCTGCATGTTCCACAATTATACAATTTAAAGACAAGTGAAGTCTGCTATTCCGTTATGGCAAGCATAGCGAACTCCCCTTACAAAATTCAATATATATTTAAATGGGATTATACACATAACTATTTATGTCAAACAAATCAAGTCATGCAGGAAAGTTTCTTGTAAAAATTTGAGATTCTTGTAAAGTATATCCAGCAGTGGATTAAGGAAGCTGTTAAAAATAAAAATATACTAAAACTGTTTTGTACTATAGAGTGAGGTGATCCCAATAATTCCATCCACATCAATCGGGTGGGGAGGGGTACCTTCGTCGTCGCTGTGATGCGATCCGGCGAGAAGTTTCTTTGCGGTGCGCCAGCGGAAGCTGCGGAACGGCGACTTGCTGCGAGACCGCGTCTTCACCTTACCCGACGTCGACGGCGTCGCGGGAGACGAGCTCGACCCGCCCGCTGCACTCACACCCCAGAGCGGTGGAGGGGGGGGGGGGACCAGACACGTGGAACGGGACGGTCACGGGGTTGGGGTTGGGTTCAGATTTCAAAAGTAGATGAGGTCGGTGAAATTATTGTGGGATAAACAATGATATTGTGAACAGTATTTATAAATTCAGAAACGTTTTGTTTTTTGTAATATATTGATTGGATGTATGATAATAGAAAATAATTTAATCAATAAGGCAAATGCAAAATTTAGATGACATGTCGAAAGAAAGCGCATTTAAATTCATATGTCGAAAGAAGAAATTTGTGTTTTTAATAAAATATTTTGAAAATTTCAATATATGGAATAGATGAACAAGGACAGGACAATAACGGTAACAGGGTAGGAGTGGGGATAAAAAAGAAAAAAAAACTTCAAAGCAACATAAAAACAAATTGTGGCGCAGAAAAAACATAAGCTTTAACATGCCATTTTTATGAATAATATAAACTAAAAAAAGGTAATTATAAATACAAAACATACAGATTAATAAAATTAACATGCAACATTGACATTGTCAACAATTATTACAAATTAATAGAACCGTTTTAGTTATACGAACAGTCAATAATTAAATATTATCAAATCTAAATGTGATTCAATTTCAATTAACATGACACCAAATATTTCATCTCACATCATATTAAATGATCAAAAACAAAATGTAGCTATGTCGCTCATCTTACAGTATGAGACTACATTTTTATAATTTAACATTAACTACTAATTAATATCAATATAAAAACAAATGCAAAGAATATGTATTAAATATAATTTAAATTTATATTCTATATTTCAATCACAAACTTTTGAACTCAACGAAACAATAATTTGAAAATAAAAATGACATAAAATAGAAATATAATATTGTGACTAATATTGCAATTTAAAATAACCACCAAAATGACTCATATAAATTTTACTTATTTCCGTTCAACAGTTATATCAATATGTACTTACAAAATATAACTTTTCTACGGGAATTATTGAATTTGAATCACGTATTATCCGAACACCAATAAAGGAGCAACTTTACTACGTGTACGTTTTTACTTACTGGAGAGACGTGCAGGTTTAGCAGGCGTCTGTTTCGACGTCGTGGGTCTGAGAGGATCCTGAACGGGCGAAGGCGTGGACGTGGGCGGGGCCTCTGGGTCGGGGGCGGGACTACTGGCTTCTGCATGCGTACATCTACGTGCTAGGTTATGTCTAAACACTACGTGCATACATGCTACGTTACTTGCTACATGCTTTATTACCATTTATGCGTAATTTAATTATTTAAATCAATTTATTATTTGTACAAATTTGTTGAAATGTATTTTGCAGATTGGATTAAAACAAAGCTTACGCATACATGATTGTAAAATTTACGTAACGATATAGGTCAAAATTAATAAACAATATAGCGCGTTGTTACACTACAATGTAAGTATCATATTTAAGCATTTCCCTAGACAGTGTTTAGTCCTTTTCATGAATAAACCTAACTAGTATTCAATTAGACGATTTTTGCGCAACAATTAAAATTAGTTACCCTTCCATTGAAAGTTATAATAAGAGAATTTAATAGTTGATGTCATTATCATCAATTACCATATAGGACCCGTTTAATATACTTATAAATTCAATCAATCGTGGCACATAGGACCCGTTTAATATACCCATAAATTCAATCAATCGTGTCAGTATGATTTTACATGATATCGGTTAACATAAATGATGTAAGCAAGGTAAAAAAAAATAATTAAGCATGTACACATATACATATATAAATACAAACATGCAAACTGAAAACGTGTAAAACAGATAAAGCACTTAAATAGTAGGAAACAATACCTACCTTTTTGAAGACTGCTTCAATGAAAATATAGAAACGAAAGCTTGACTCACACATTAAAGAGTTATTTAGCTTCGCCTACAGTTTGAATATTCTAGAAGTTTATGTGTGAATTAGACTACGGAGAATTAGCAAAGTTTACGTTTAGTCTGTAGACGAATCCACACGCCAGAAATTAATAGCATGAATAAGTAAAGTATCCCAAAGACAGACAGTATAGACAATGTATAGAAAGATGTGAGACATATCAAACCTTCACCGAGATTAGCTTTATATTAATTTTATATAAAAAATATAAAAAAATACTTTATTCAGCAGATGATTTTGACTTTAGCATGACTAAGTTAGCGAAGTATCAAAATTTGGGCGTAAACTATACAATATATTTTAGAAGACCAATGTCTTCTTTGAAAAAAAAAATAAAATTCCTTATAAATGAGAAACTATTTACACCCAAATTTGTTTAAGGAAAAATAAATTATAAAACTGTCCAGTCAACGACAGGCACCTTCACCTATGTGAAAAAAGTGAATCGTGTAGAATACTAAAATCGTGCAATGTAAAGAAAATTTGTGCAATTCGTCCCCGACTAAGTACGAAAACAAATAAAACACGTAATCGTTTTTCATAAAGCTTAAGGAGCTATTTAAATAAACACAAATCTACCCCGTGTAGCGTTACGATTTAGAGCGCAGTGTGACCCGACAAAATTATGTTGACACCCAGTCTCGTTTAACTACTGAATAAGCACATGCGTACAGCCGGGTATCATTTTACATCAGTAAGTTCATAGTAAGCGCTCTCGTTACCTGGCTGGGAATGTGGTCGTTCTTGGGCCTTCTCAGCCGCTTTAGTGGACGTTCTCCTTACGACTACGCGTGTGCATGTGTGGACAACACATCGGTAAGTAACGTCCCCTTTATCTCATACGCGACACTCGGCCGCCAAACGAATTACAAAAAACTGAATTTACATTTATTTTTGTTAACAAGCATATTAACATCATAATTTAAAATTAATTCAGTTTTGTGAAAAATCACAAAAGTACTTCGTTTGTAGGCCGAGTAAGCAAAATATAGATCTTAACCATAGACGTAAAGCGGCAAGCGACGCCGTAAAATTTTTTGCTCTATCGCAGTGCGGAAAGTGCTTGGCCTTTGAAAACAAATCGCGATAAAATTCTCACAGTTGTCTTGTATGTCAAATAATTAGGAAATGCAATCCGCAAGCAATATTCACCGGTAATTCGGTGAAAGTTAATCGAAATGTTTATTTAAGATTATTAAATTGGACAGGAATCTTAATATAGTGCTAGAAGAGGTAAAGATATAACACATGCTTGTGCTAACGTTGCGGTCTGTGAGTTACAAGTGAAGTTAATCATTAAATATTAGGTGGTTCAGACGTTTACAATCATAACAATATAATTAAAATTAGTACTACTGGAACTAATCTAAATATCTTTGTAGTTTGGGGGAAGTTACAAATATTTAAAAAAAATACTCGCAGTAAAGGTATACTCTAAATTAATACTTATATTCTAAATTAATGCTAACGCGACGTCAGACAAGTTTCGACATATTAAACTATTAACATATATGTCCTATCTACAAAAAATTAAAACATGCTTTTAAATTACAGATAGTGTCATAAAACTTTTGATGGGGTACCACCATATGGATTTTTGTTTTCTGTAGACACGTTTAACACGCTCTCAATTTTCATTTGCAGTATTCGTTAAAAATAAAATATTAAATATCGATTTATTTAGTAAAAAACTTGTCTCAGCGTCACGGCTCTTGGGGGACATTCGATACCCAAATATCATTGCCCCCTCAGTATCGATACTATTCTAATTAATAATTAATATTGAATGAAAATGAGCACTTTTCTTAAAGTATTGGGCTGAGTATGACCCATGCAAGTGGTTATAGCAGATTTTGCCGACAACTAACTCTTCAAGCAAAGAAAGTACAGGTGCATTGTGAGGATTAATATGGAATGCCTCATAGTAATTATACTGGTCCTATATATTCTTTAAACCGAAACACAATAGGAGCTAAGTTGGTGATATTGATGCCTATCCAGATGGATCCCAAGGGAGAAATGGACCCTGCCACATAACAGATCGGGTATCGAAGTCCGAAGTATATGCAGGAAAGACGTCCATTGTAATGTGAGATCCGGAGGGGGCAATATGCAAATACATGGTAAAGTCGCGAGTGCACGACACGTTCGCACCTCGACTCAACCTCGATTCTAATCTTTAGGATCTTCGCAGATGAGTTGTGGCGTAATCGTATCTTTAAATTCTAAGAATGTAACTATAAGACCTTTTGTAACAGTATTTTTTACCCCCGAAAAAAAAAAACAAAGGGGTGTTATATGTATGTAGTGTGTATTTGTGAACGGATGAACCGATGTCGATTAAGTTTTGTTTATTTGAAAGGTGTCTTAATCGAGAGTGTTCTTAGCTATGTTTTAAGAAAATCTGTTCAGCCGTTTATCAGTAAATTTCAGATCAGTTTATTTTTGTTTTGGGGTTTAAAAAAGGGTTTTTATTTTTTTTATTTAAGTTATTGTACTAGGGAACAATTACTTTAAGACATTGTAAAGCTTAGTTAACTGATATTCAATGAAAACGCTTTTACGATATTTTATCGCGTTTTATTTGAAGTCATTTGTGAGTTTAGCGACATTTCGAATGGTTTGAATCTTTGCATCACATGTTGTCATGGTGGGATTTCTAAATATATCAAAAATGTGATAAAATCAATAGCCAACCCAATAAATGTATTTAAAATTACTATTTTAGCAGTAATTTAAAAAAAAAAACTGCTTAAAGACTTAAAAAATTGAAAAATTGAAATATACCCGTGTCATTACCACAGCTAAGACGAATTTAACGACACCTCATATTATGTTTAAATTTATTAAATTGTTTAGGTTACAATGCGTGCCAAACAAATAGAAATACATTCGAAAAATATTACGCTCCTGCTGGGGTAGGCAGGTAAAAACAGATGCAATATAGGTATGGGCAGTATCGCGTCAATTTAAGTTGTCATCACGTTATCTGTTATTGTAAAATACATTAACAATCACTATTACGTCACAACGCTATACACTAATAACGCGCACGAGGGGCGAACGTGTGAGATTCGTGCGAGCGCGCAGGCGTCCGCGGGGCGGGGCCGGGAGGAGCGTGAAGGGTGTGTGCGTGTGTGTGTGTGCGTGTGTGCGTGCGTGCGTACCTTGCGGCGCGTCGACGGTCTCTTGGGCGCGCTGCTGCGCCTCGTGCTGCGCGCGCTCGGCCTCCGCGGCGGCGGCCGCCTCGCGCTCCAGCCGCTCGCGCTCCGCCGCCTCGGCCGCCTCCTGCCGCCGCTTCATCTCCTTCACCTCGAACTGCGCCACAACCACATTATACACACCGTTACATTTTTCATACAACAATCCTTACATCTACACATTTATATATATTATATAATCTTGATATGTGATAACATTAAATAGTGTATAGTAATAATAATAGAATAAGTATAATTAATTAGACATGGTTACACAAAAAGAATCCAACCCGTAAAATGCTGCTTTCGAATCATTAACATTTGAAGTTGTTTTTCTTATTTACAGTAGTTGAGTACATTTACATGAGTTCATGCCGGGACTGTTTTCACGGTATGTAAGTAAGCATTATTTTGATATTCATTATTTAAACTCAGTGTTGACCAACAGTGAATTGGATTGTTTATGTGTAACTACGTCCAATTATGTCATCGAGACCGACTTTCGATCAAGGCGACCAGTCTCAATGGAGACTAGTCATGTGTGCACAACTATGTTCCCAAACACAGGCACATTATCTATTCCCTCACTCTTATAGTACGATGGGACGGCAGCAAATTTTAACAAATTTTAATAAGTACTGTTAATACTTTGCGCGATAGAGACGACGCTCTGCAAAGACACTTATGGAAAATACTTTCGTTCTAAACCTTAATATGTAACAGAAAAGAAATTTCTCCAATGCAATGAAGGCGTTTTACGTATGCAAAAAGCATTTAAATAACACCCATATCAATAATGGATATGGTAAATATAGATATCGGTTCTGTAAGGAGGCGACTTTAGTAAATAATAAAATTATTTGAAAATATCAGAGAAAATTAATGTAGAGTCGGCATTAGAGAAACAAAGAAAGTATATATATATATAAAGTATATATAAAAGAGATATAAACATTTATAAAATGTTAAAAGAAGCAATTATAAAATTGAATTAGACATTATTTTTTATACTTTTTAATAAAAGTTAGTCACCGCGATAATATAGGCAAAACTTTTTACTAAACAATAGTTTTACTAAAGTTAAAATAATATAAATATAATAATCAATTACATAACTTTACTAATATGTTCCATGCAAATTGACCATAATATAATATATAAAAGCAACTTCGCATTTTTGCATTTTAAAAAAAAATGCTTAACATTAACTTTCAAATTTTATAAGACGAATTAAAGATAAAGACATTTTCGTAAAGTATAGCATATAAAAATTGACTAAACTAAAATATTACAAATTCTTCACATAAACTTTTTTGACTTAGTTATGTCACAAAATTACTTAAAATAAATAAATAACATATTAATTGTGTTTTGTTTGAAATTAAATTAATTTTCCGAGAAAAATTAATAATAAAAAATATGTCATGTTAGCTTTTAAGAATAATTTAATTACTCGTACCATTGTTATTACCCATTGTAAAAGATTATAAAGCTTCTCATGCATGTAACGTGCAATATACCAACAACCAAACTTACACAGTCCAGGTAGTTATAGTACCATGCACCATCCGGGAACAGAAGTTTACGGGTTTGAGAGAGGAGCAGGAGGGAAGAGCTCAAGGGAATGCTTTTGACATCTTTAGATAAATCACTAAACGTTTTACTAGAAGTACTAAGACCTGGTAGGGAAAGCACTGCAATTTCACCTTTATTGTCCCCACCCGAGAGCCTCTTTTTCTTTGATAACTTATTAATTATACGTTTTATGCTGCCAGATTTCGACGAGCTATCACTATTGTGCCTCAAAAGAGAAATATTTGGGTAAACAAATTGATATGATAATCTTTCCCACAATATAAAATCTATGGACGCTAATCGGTCGTTTGGTTTTTCATTATTAGGCGTGTATTCAAAGAAAACTGAGCTGTATATCTCTGGTGATAGTGGTGATTTTAATGGTGTCATTGGTGGACTACTAAATTCTGATATTGTAGATAGACTATTATTCGTAACAACTGACCATAAGAAGGAGTTGTTCTTAGACACCTCCTTATTTTGATAATTGACTTGTAATTTGCGCTTCAGTTTTTCAGGTACTTCGTATTTCTCACTCATTCTTATTATTTCTTCTACTACTTCTCCTACAGGCCGTTCTTTTATTGTTGTAATTTGGAGAGGAGTTTTCTTGTGGTAGGAAATAGGTGGAAGTTGATAGAGGAAGGTTGATTCGTCACATTTATCCCAAGGTTGTGCAATAGGCCACATTGTCGCCTCTTTGAGTTCAAGCTAGTGTTGAATTAGAAAAACAAATTAGATGAAATTCAAATCAAAATAACCACCAAGCAATAAGTGCAAAGCAAAATTTCATCAACTGAATAAAACTACCATCTACTATATTTACAGCGTGTACAAAGTGGAGAGTTCATTATTGATGCAGTAAACAAGTTTTTTTTTTTCAATTATGATACTATATCAAATCAAGAATTTATTGAGAATGTTTAAGGTTACTGTCTGATGAATATCTCTTTCATAAAATGACATTGAGATTTCATAGACTTGTGATTAATTTCGTGTTTTGCTTTACAAAGTTACGTATAATTAATTGTCAATTTGCTTAATGTTGTATTGTTAAAATGTCAGATTTTATTGTAGTTATAAGCATTAAAAGCAAACTATTCCGTAGCTTCTATACATTTAAGAGTATTTTAACTGATAAAGGCTTATGTATTTTTTAGAAAAACCTATAGCAAGTTGTAATTTTAAAAAGGTAACAATGACGTGATTACTGCATCATTTATCGTAACAAAACAATACGAATAATACGTGTACATTTTCGATCAATAATACACAACTAGATAACAAGTTAGCATTTGAGGTTTTATTTGTTAACAAGGTGATTTGAACGATAGCTGATGTAAGATTGATTTGACTGTAAATGTTCATTCTGTAAGACACTCATGTTGATTGCAGCATAATTTTATAATTTCATCAGTATCAACATTTTATGAGTAGTAAAAGTGACTTTTTGCAAAGGAAAATAAAACGAATGTTACAAATTACATCATACTTTCTTGTAATTCTTGTCAAAGTAATAAATACATAAAGATGAAATATATTTTATTTATTGTAAATAGGAAATCTAAATTTTATGGTTGGTTATTTTATACATGATGTTGATGTTTTCCAGTATTAAAAAAAACCACGATGAATGTACAAAAGTTGATTTAGAGTACATTCTGATATTTTGTTATAATCAGGACAAGTTGAAGAAAGGCACCTTAAGCATCAAGAATACAAAGTTATCGCATAGTATGTGATTCGAGCATTCTATGCTGTGATTGCGTTTTGTTTGTATAATGGATTATCTATTACATATATGAGATGATCATAATGTAACAGGATGGATCGTGTTATACTATATTAGTTCGTGACGTGTTATCTGGTCGTGTATATCCCCGGATGTACCACTAAGGTCGGTAGTTAATGCGAGTTCGATATAGCACGCTTATGCCCCTGCAAGACGGGTATGTGAAGGTATTTCCCCGTGAAATAAGAGAGTATAGTGGTGTGACATGCGAGCGGCGAGCGGCGAGCGGCAAGCAGATTAAGGAGAGCTTAGATCTTACGGTGGTGAGGCGCTGCAGCGCGCTGAAGCGGTCCTCCTGCGCGGCGGCCGACTTCTCGAAGGCCTCGTGCTTCTTGATGAGGCTCTCCACCTCGTCGATGGTGTGACCGAGCTCCTGCGACATGAGGTAGGGCTCCTGCGCGATCAGCCACGCCTCCGCCACCGCCGCGTCGCGCGCGAACTGGTACACCTCCAGGACTGCGCCACACACAAATCGCGCTCAAGCATTAGCTATACATTACTTTACGCGGTGGAGCCACGTCGCAGGTATATTATGGTTGTAGCATGAATTCGACTTTACAAGGGATGGACCACACTCTCACAAAACACCAGCGTAAAATACTATTTTAGACTGGTGACCCGCTGATCTTTTTATTGGTAAAAATGTGATCCATCTCCTCCAGTCATCCCTGATGCAACATATTTACATTTTAATTCTTAATCGTGAATAGATATAGGTAAAAAACCACACCAGCTTATCTTGTGAGCGTCGTAAGAAGCATCTTAGGCACACTATTCGAAATATCGCCTGTAGAACACCGATAGGTAATTTTATGCCTGTACTAGTCTGGCAAGTTGATTTTTACTTTTTAAAACAACAGTACTTTACGCCCCATAACAAAATTTATGCAGTTTAAATTGATAACAAGTGGTAATACATTCTTATTAAGCATAAATGTGTTAATTAAATTTTACCAGAATATAAATTATGTACATAAACATTTTGCCCTAAAAGCATTTTGTAAAATATAAAAACATAATTAATGTAATCAGGTGTTACTATGAGGAAATCCGTTATTCTCTTGCGTTAATAGAGGGCTCCCGCCCTATTCAATTTTCAACATCTTATTTAAATACAGAATTTCGTTGCATGACATATCAGTAATAGTTAGTCACAATAACGAATTACGATATTTTACAATACATTTCTACTGATTTAAATATGGTCTTACTGAGTTGCAAGTTCTCCCATCGCTCCTCCCAACGTCTCAGTAGCGCGTTGCGTTGGTTGGTGAGCTGCAGCAACTTCTCCTTGATGTCCGCAGAAGCGTAATGCTGTTGCGCCAGAAGTTCTCTTCCCAACGATATGCATTCTGTGAAGTTGTCCTCGCGGGTGTCGATCTCAGCTTTCAGTGACTGGTGGTTGTTCATTAGTAACTCCACGCCGCTTACGTCTCTATAAATGAAGAACGGTGTATTTAGTATCGGCAGTGAGTGGACCAAGTGACCTGGGATTGAAACCTGGTTCCAAATTTCGGGTATAATTCTTTATTTAGGTTTTGATAGTGTTGACATTTTGATACTGTACTTAGTTCTGGCTTCGGTAAAGTATTAGTTTAGAGAAATTGGTTTCAAAATACTATCAAGAAATGTATCAGGTTACAATTTAAACGTTGTAATTTTATTTTAAGAAATTTATTCCATGCAAATAGTATGTTTCATTTGTTTACTGGTGAGATAACGGTGTTGGATGATTTTAATTTATGGTCGACGTGAAATATCTAGACCGAAGACGGGCAGCAGCGTTAAAGGTGCGAGAAGTACTGCGATCGTCGGTTGGCTTGTCGAAAGTGACGATTACGGTAAATCCTTTTCACCACGGGAGAGGATCTAGCAATGAACTTAGGATGATAAGATTTACTATTTTGAATAGATTTAAAAAATAGGTGTCTGCGTGTTTGTGTGTAATTGTGTAGTGGTGTTGGAAGAATATCCACTACCACGTATCATTCCGTGGGTGTCATAAGAAGCAAAGGAAAGAATCTGAACTGGGAGGGGCATTTTCCTGATAACAGCTGAATACAAATATCTACTACCTCGTAACGTCCCGTGGGTGTGGTAAGAGGTGACAGAGGGTAATTGAAACAGGAGATGGGTAGCAGCATCTTCCTGCCTCTCAACACAAAATAATTATAAAAATTGCGGTTACGAATCCGCTTGCTAATCGTGGCAACTATGGCAACATCTCCCCTATGAGGTAATCTAGGGGGGAGGTCTATGTTCAGTAGTGGAATTTTATAGACTGTAATGGAAGCAATATAGAAATGGTCACTACGATGATGTGTGTGTGCGTTTGTACGTGTTGGAGTGCGTGCGTGTACCTGTGTAGGTGTTGGAGTGCGTACGTATGCGTGTGCAGGTGTCGGTGTGCGTGCGTGTGCAGGTGTCGATGTGCGTGCGTGTGCAGGTGTCGGTGTGCGTGCGCGTGCAGGCGGCGGGTACCTGGGCTTCTCGCCGGTGTTCATCTGGCGCACGACGTCGTCCATCCAGAGCGCGAGCGTGCGCACCTGGCTGAGGAAGCGGTAGAGGCGGTCGGCGTCCTGCAGCTTGTGGCGGCGCGCGGCGCACGCGGCCTGCAGCGCGGCCCACGCCTCGCGCACCTCGGCCTCGCGCCGCGTGATCTCCAGCGCCTTGTCGCCCGCGTACGACGCGCCCAGCCGCGCGCACTCCGCGCTGATCGCCTCCACCTGCCCGCCACACCCACACACCCACACACTGTTACACCACATCTAACCAAAACCCTATCACCCCAAATACTCAAATGCTACTCAATTTTAAGATGTCGTTAAGTCTCGGGTTGTTACAGTCACTTTGACTTAAAATGATAGAAACAGCACCTCAAACTTGTCCAGCATTTAAATATTTGGGCACTAATCATCAAATCAATTTTCAAACATAGAAATAACTTTACTTCAGAAAACTCGACCTTTTACTTGCAAATTGTATGTGACTTTACTACCTTACCATTGACCGGAGCGTAAGAATATTATCAAAAATCACACTTTACCGATACGCGTGTCAGTGAGTTCAAATATGTATAACATTTTTATTTAATTAGTTACTATTGTGAAAACTAAAATCACTTTAATAATTAAAAAAAAATCACTTTTATAAATACAATCTATACATCCCTAAAACGATCACCGTTGTTACCCAGCTCGTCGCTCACGCTCAGTGCAGCAGTGCATATGCAGTAGAGCGTACCTGGTGCTGCAGAGTGCTGAGGTCCTGCATGAAGTTGTGATGCTTCCGTTGCAACGCGCTCACGCTGATGGCGTCGCGGCCCAGCTCGTCGCTCACGCCGCGCGCCTTCTCGTTCACGCGCTGCAGCGTGTCCTTGCAGTCGTGGAAATACTTATGGAGCTCGCGCGACGCCGCCAGCATCTGCACACAACGCACCAATACACACGCATTACACTATGTTCGGACTCTAATACGAGACTTAAAAATTAATGCTAGCGAAGCTTACAAATAGCTAGCTTAAGACAATAACGTCACAAGTAATAAAATTAAAAATTTTGTACAACCGACTTCAATATAAATTATCAAAAATGACTCAAAACTATTAGTCCGAACTTTAAAATAAAAAAAGAATAATCGAAATCGGTTCACCCAGAAAAAAGTTATGAGGTAACACACAACATACAGTCGAGTTGAATACCTCCTCCTTTTTGAAGTCGGTAGATAAAATGATAACATCAATGTAGTGTGCGCATTATTGAGCATAACTCAAAAACTACTGGTCAGATCTTGATCAAATTTACATGCGACCACATGAGAAGCATCATCAAAATTGGTTCACCTAGAAAAATGTTCCGAGGTAACACAGATAAAAAAAAACAGTCGCATTGAGAACCTCCTCACTTTTTTGAAGTCGGTTGCAATAGACTTGTTTATCACATTTACAATCCTTTTTAAGAATGATTAAAATAACTAGAAAGAATAAATAGAAAATGATATCCCTACTACTTTTGTGGTTATTTAAGTATACTATAATGGTATACAGATATGCGACACTGGCAAATCTTGAGCTTATAAACATTCAAAACTGGGTCTAAATTCTAAATTCAAGTTATTGACCGTAGCTTGTCCTCATATGGACTTTAGTTACCTGATGTATATCTAGATGAAATTTGAAAAGGAAATGCAAAATAATTTTAAATACCTGTGTCCTGGTCTCAATGAGCTCGAGCAGATCTTGCCAGGTTTCTTTAAGACCTTCTTTCCATTGCGCGATGGTAGCATTGTCGGAATGACCCATGGCGATCATTTGGTCGGCGATACGTTCTGCTGTTGCCACGCGCTCCGAGCCCACAGCTTGCGTTTCACGAGCGAACTCCTTGAAGCGCTCCCACAGCAGCTACAATGTGCATTTTAATAAGATCAAGAAGGCGTTAGGGGTAATAAAATATACTTCATTAATATTTTTCAAAAACCTTTTCTGTCATATATCTTCATTATAACTTCATTTAATAAAACGTTTTGGGTTCTTAAATGAAAAGAAGTATATTTGTGGTAACAAATTTAGTGTTCTATTAGTTCTATTAAGACTGTTCTTCTTTAAAATTCAATAAAATATTTTTAGCGTTTTTCACCATCCAAATATACTTACAGTGACGTGATCGTAATCCTGTCCAAGTTCCTGCGAGCTTGCGACCAGTTCCCTTTCTGTAATCCATTGCTCCAAGTCATCAACTTCACGGGACAGTTGGAACAGTCGCAAAGCTTCGTCCAATTTAGCGCGCCTCTCTCCCGCCAAGTCTTTGAGACCGGCGTATAATTTGTCCACTTGCGACTGTTTTACTGAGATCTGCTCACTGCGATATATAAATAATAAATATGGTTATTATTAGTCAGCAATATAAAAAGGACTTGGTTATAATGTACAAAACTGTTCTTCAACAAATTAAGTGGTAAATTTTACTGAATATATATTCACATATTTCTGACATTAATACAAAAATTGAATATAAGTAGCTCTAGTAGGCCATAGCAGCAGAAATAGTTGACAGCAGTGTGAGTGTAATGGTAATATAAGAACTTTTACCTGAGTGGATGTTCCTCGCTGGTCAACTGACGGACAGTTTCACCTAGCTGTCTGATAGTCTGGGCATAGTCGTCCACCGCCTGTTCTAATATTTCGTGTTTCTTCATTAGATTCTGAGCAGAGATTTCGTCCTTTCCTCGGTCTTCCACCATCATATACAATTCTTGCTCACTCATCCACGCTTCGGCCTCATTAGCGTCAAACAGATACTGCTGAGCCTTCTCCCATTGCGATAAGTTGTTTTTACGATTTTCGATAGCATCTGAAATTAATAGTATTTTTGCATTAACGTGATTTTCTAATCAGTTAAAATTACTATCGAGTAGTTAACAACATTATCAAGTGTCTCAAAGTGTGACTTAAATTTCTATCGAAAATACCGTTTTGTTAGGGCATGAGAACTATTTTAATGGGTTTACTAACATAATGCTAATAAAGCATAATGCATAACATAATAACTCAACCAAAAAATGCTTATTATCTCGGATAATGGTGAATGTTGAAAATTACGAATTGCTTTTTAATAATGCAAGGCGACTTATTTTTACCTTTAAGTTCTCGCCACCGCGCGGTTAGTTCATCAATAAGCTTCTTGAACTCGGGAGAATCTTCATGTTCCTCGTCAATCAGCTTCTGGCCATTGGAAATGACAGTCAAGATTCTAGGCTCGTGGTTATCAGTTTCAGTCTTTAAGGACTGGTTCTTCTTCTGAAGCATTTGGACGTTGAACAAGGAATTGCCATAGTCTGTGCTAGTAGCTAAAGGCATCTTTTCGTGGATCCATAACTTCTCATCCTCGACATCTCGTCGGAACTGGAATGCTTCCTTCTTCTTTGCCAACTGGCGTTGACGTTCCAGTAAAGGTGCTTTGAGCTGCTCGAATCTCTGTTCCACTGTCTTTTTCTTTTCTTTGATCTCCTCCATTTTGTCTGGAACAGTCTTCTGTAGATATTCGGCTTGGGTTTCCAGTTCAGTTACCTGCTTCGCTTTAACGGCCATCTGAGTCTCGATCATCTGTTGTTTCTGCATTAGAATGTTCACAGATGCCAGATCAGTGCCTGTATCGGTATTTTCGATTTGTTTTTCGAGCTCGTTCATCCACGAGTCGATGTCGTCGCAGGTCTGGTGTAGGAGAACTTCGCGGTTAGCATCGAAAAGACGCTCTCCTTTTTCTTTTGTCGTCGTTTGCAGGTTTTCGAACTGGTCTTGTAATTCGTGCATCTTCGGAGAAATTATTTCAACGAATTCCGGTTTCTGTTTCATGAGTTCCTCGGCCGCGTTCTGGACCGCAAATAGACGTTCTTTGTTGGCCGCGATTTCCGCCTCGAAAGCTTGGTGGCGCGTCCATTTGGAATGAATAGTCTTCGCTGATCGGTAGGTGTCATCTTGAGCGGTGACATTCTTTTCCTGCACCCATTCACCGAGCTCGTCGCAATCTTGTAGGAACTGATGTAGTTGCAACTGATCCTGCAATTTCTCCATCTGTTGCAAAGCCTTTTCCCTGTTGGCGTTGCGTCTTGCCTCAATACTTTCAGCCTTGCGTTGAATTTTGTCAGCATCGAAATGTCGCTCTTCGACCAAACGGTTGGCGAACTGCACCACAGAGTTGATTTTGTCGTCGTTAGCTTCCATAGTTGTAAGGAATGCTTCATGTTCTTTAATCATATTCTCCGCCTGCTCCAAATTGGTTGGTGGTTCCGTCTTAGCCAGCCTGTGAATAAAGAATATATAATTTATTGGACTGAAGATACTTTCGATTTTCTTGAAACGAATTTAAACAGAAATTTATTAAACTTAAAATTTAAAATTATTCAGGCTTTTTCTTGTTTATCATAATAAAAGTTTAAAGACACCAGACGTCTGGTCTGGTATTGCATTTGTCCACCCGCTTTAGGCAATTCCTCCATGCATAATTATTTCTTCTAAGGAATGCACCATAAAATGTGAATGTTATATGTAAATAACAAGTATAATGCTTATTTAATAAAACAAAAATTTTTCTCCTGTATCGTGGAGCCAGTTAAGTTGTTAGCAATTAAACTGCACAATAACACTAATCCAGACGGAACAATTATTTGTAGGATACAAAGAGTTGTCCAGAGCGTGATTGGAAGTCTTGTGCCGGCACACGCACCTGTGCTCCTGGTGCGCGAGCAGCACCTCGGCCTGGCGCGCGTCGCGCTGCAGCAGCTGCAGCTCGAGGCTCTGCGCCAGCAGCTGCTGCCGGTTCTCCCACATCTGCTGCAGCTCAGCCCAGCCCTCGCGCAGCGCCTTCAACCGCTCCCGCAGGAACATGTACTGCGGGTCGTCCTGCGTCGACGGCTCCTGCATAGCGAAAGTTTTAACTATACAAACAGTTCTCACCACATCGATGCCACTCAACACCCACTACACACTATTGTTAACTAATAAAATCACACGTTTTTCAGATTGTTATTACTAGAAGCTCATTTTCTGCCTTGGAGCCTATATCGGTTTGTACCAACATTTTACATATTCTACTATGCATTAGATACCTAATTTGAACAGAGCAAGAGACTAATATTTGGTCATTCAAATTCAAAATTTTAAAAGGTCATCAAAGTTTGGGTATATTTAATATAATACATAAAATTCTATCAAATCCTCAGGGCTGCATCATCCATGGGCTGCAATAGCCCCATACCATGCTTTAATATTTAAAGAAAATGGTTTTTAAATCAAAAGCGTGCTATGAGGCGCTTTTATTTGAAACACCATGATTGAATTTCGAATTGAGTATAATTATCATAAAATAGAGGATATGAGAGTCCGAAGACAAATAAAAAGAAATTTTTGAACTTCATCAAACTGTTAAGGCTGGAGAAAAACAACAATTGAAAAAATATTACTCTCCTTTATGAAGACGATTGTGTAAAATTAAGGCTAGATTCGCGAGCTCACTCCCACATAACATTTGTTTTGTGAAGTTTGGGTTTTTTTAGCAATTGCAAAAGATTCTCAAGATTTGAGGTTATTAAGTGCTTACATAGTAACTCTCCCACACAAACACTAATTAGCGCTCGCCGTGAATAACACAATATGCGAAAAACTATGGTTTGATCGCCGCCGGCACCCATAAAACAGTTAATTGCAGTTTTTAAGTGCTGATTTACTACGCACTCCATTTGTAGGTTTTAAAAAACAATCATTTCAAGAAGATCCGTGGTAACTTACGGCTGTGATTTTCTCTCCATACTCCATCATCTTGGCATATTCGTCCTTGTAGTTATCAATCTCTTCCTTGATGGTCTGATGTTGAGACAAAAGTTTTTCGGCTTCCGCCAAGGAGGACGGTATATCTAAAACATTAAATTACAATATTATTTTTTAATACAAATCATACATCATCATCATCATCATTACAGCCCTTTACAAGTCCACTGCTGAACATAGGCCTCCCCCAAAGAATGCCACAAAGCACGGTCCTGAGCCACCTGTATCCATCGACTTCCTGCATGTCTTACCAGGTCGTCACTCCATCTCGTGGGGGGACGCCCTACACTTCGCCTACCGGTACGAGGCTGCCACTCGAGAACCTTTCTTCCCCATCGGTTGTCGGTTCTTCAAGCTATATGGCCGGCCCACTGCCACTTCAGCTTACTAATCCGTTGGGCTATGTCGGTTACTCTGGTTCTACTGCGGATATCCTCATTCCTAAGTTTATCACGCAGAGAAACTCCGAGCATAGCCCTCTCCATAGCTCGCTGAGCGACCTTGAGCTTCCTCATACGGCCAGCAGTGAAGGACCACGTCTCAGTTCCATAAGTCATCACTGGCAACACGCACTGGTTGTACAATTTCGTTTTCAGGTTTTGAGGTATGTCTGACGAGAAATCATACATACAGTAATAAAAATATATTGTTTACCTATAAGTGATGTCACAATTTTTTTTTTTCATAAAACTTTGATATTGAGTTGTTTATGGTAAACTTACCTTCTGAAGCAACATCTGTCTGGGTCTTAGTAAGCCAGGCTTGGAAGTGGTCGACAGAACGCAAGAAGCGGTGCAAGTCGCCGGCCTCTTCCAGTTTCGCGTCGCGTTCTTTGAGCTGCAATGAAGACAATAAAAAGTAATATTAATTATCGAAAGTAATATGTATAGAATTTTTTCATTTAACATAAAGACCTGTATAGATTCAGGTCAGATTTTTAGTTTCAGGTGGACTGTGGGCTCGTTAATTGCTCTAAATAAAATAACTGAATATTGTTCACATCGTCTGGGCGGGACATTGTTATAGTGCATGAGTGTATGCGCGAGTATAGGTGCACATTCTATGTCCTCACTCTTACAGTCCGCTGGGACGGCAAGAGAATATTACGAAGAGGGGCCACCTGAGGTGACATCAGGCGCAACGCTAACGGTTTTTACAACTACGTTTTTGCACATACCCGTCTTATTTAGGCCATTTGCGATGAAATTATAAACAACGTAATGAATTACCGAAAGATCAGTGTATTACCATTAAGGGTAAGAACCACACATAACTTTCAGTTAGTAGTTTAAGTTTTATTTTAATATATTTTTATCACTGCGGTCTTTCTATTTGCATCTAAACTACTTCAGTATATGGAATAACAACCAAACCATACAAATTGATTTGACCCGATCTGAGAACTTTAGATCAGCAATCATATACAAGATTACTAAACCATGGAGTACCGTGTAGTGGCGGTGTAAGAATATCCAATTCCCCATGTCATCTCGTGGGTGTCACAAGAGAACAACAGAGGGAAAGTGGAACAGATGGGCAGCAGTATTTTCTTGATAACAACTCAAAATAAGAAACTGCACTAGCCAAGCGTGATTACTATGACAAAATTGCACTGGACTTTTACAGGCTGCAATGGATGGAGACCACCCAGACAGCTATACATATTATATACATAAACAGACACACAGATACAGGTGTATGTAAAAAAGTCGCGTAAAGGGAAGTATAGTGACCATGTGCGTGAGCTGTTCCCAGTTGTGCGTGATGTGCGCGATGCGGTCGCGGATGAGCTGCGCGTCGGCGGGGTGGTCGTGCTCGATGGCGCTGGCCTCGGCCTCCAGCGACGCGATGCGCGCCTGGATGGCCGCCAGGTCGCGCTCCATGCCCGACAGCCGCCGCTGCAGCGTCATCACGCCTGCGCACACACACACCACATTACACTACACACATGCTGCTCTAACAATATCTACTACCCTATAAATTGCCACAGGTGTCGTAGGAGGCGACGAAAACAAATTTAAACAGGAGATGTGCAGCACCCACCATCTTTTTTATATAGAATAAGGATGACAAACCCGCACACAATCCACCCAATGGTAAATGGATGCTGTGACCTACAGACATCTAATTTTCTTCTCGATTAAGAATCAAAGTGCGGATGCGTAGTCACCCCTGAGGACTAAGATGGAATGCTTCGTTTCCAGTAAAAAGTCTTAAGTTTACCAAGCGAAACACAGCAACATTGAGCTGCTATTTTACGCTGGTATTCTGTGAGAGCGTGGTCTTTACCCAGTCAAACCAACCCATACATACTACAACCAAAATATAGCTGCAACGTGGGTCAACCATGTAGCAATCCTGTAAACCATTTATGCCGAGATGCGACAAAGGGAAATTGAAACAGGAGATGGGCAACAGCATCTTCCTGATAACAACTCAAAATAATACGTCTGCCCAGCATGACAACTATAGGCAAAAATCCCCCTATGTAGGAATCTATGGAGGATACCTATGTACAGCAGTCGACCTTTGACAAGCTGTATAATGATAATAATGATGAAAATGAATGGAAGTGACATATCTCACAAATAAATATAAATAAATTTTCCTCAAATATAATAATCCAACATTGTGTTGTCTGAAAAAGTTACCATTGAGGTCCATCTCGAGATTGTCCGTTTGTTGTAAAATACGTTTCTTGTCTTCGATCCATGACACAGTCTCTCTGCACTCGATATGGAACGTCTGCACGCCCTGTGCCGCTTTCAATTCGTCCTTCTTGGCTTCGGCCTAAACAATGCATAGACATAATTTATTATCACTTTGAATTCCATTTAATGTTTCTATCGTTCTATGTCATTGTTTGTACTGCGTGTTTTGTAAAAGTATTTTTTTGTTGAGAAAAAGTAAGCCGTATGCTAAAAATAAACGAACTCAAGTAATAAATAATACTTTACTACTTAACTATTCGATTAGATTCTCTAGCTAGTTCTTTTTATCTCTCTACCATTCTAAGATATAGAGAGTAGAGTGAGCGTGTGAGATCCTTGACCTTGACGCTCATGGTATTGATCGCTCCTAAGCGCCAATCTTGTGTATAGAAATATGGTGTTCACGAAACGACCAGAGCTATAATAAATGCGTAGTGGTCGTCACAGAGTACAGGGAGCAGCGAGTACAGAGCAGTAAGAGGTGCTATACCTTGTCTCGCAGCGCGCTCCAGGCGGCGTTGAGCGCGGCCTGGCGCTCCTGTATGCGCGGCGCCTGCGGGTGCTCCACGTGGATGAGCTGGCGCGCCAGCTGGTTCACCACCGCCACGCGCGACGCGTTCGCATTCATCTCCTTGTCGAATCCGTCGTATCTGTTCAAAAAACAAACTCTTCCATCAATTCGTTTATTGGACCCACAATTGATTGAAAATAAAAGAATTATTAAAAATTAGGTGTGTGAAAAAACTTAAAGAATTATTAAAAAGTAACAATATTACAACAAGCAGTTTTTATAAATAACAAACAAATTTTAGCTTTATTATCTTCATGTTAAGGTTAAGAAGATAAAATGCTATAAAACCTACAACGCAACAAATATTGTACCTTTTCCAGTTGAAATTTTAAAATGCAGCCTTAGAATATGTTATTTCATTTACAATGAAGGCAAGCTATTAAAAAAATATTAGCAAATTGGTAAGATAATTTTAGTACCTGTGTTTCATGATCTCAACGTCGTCGATGTCGGCGGGCGGCAGCATGGTGTCGAGCATGCGCTGCTTCTCGGCGATCCACTGGTCGGCGGCGTCGGCCTCGGCCAGCAGCTTGAAGAGCGAGAGCGCGTCGAGCAGGCGCTGCTTGCGCAGGCGCGCCAGCGCGGCCAGCTCGCCGTGGCGCGCGTCGATGGCCGCCAGCCGCTCGCGCACCTCCGCGCTGCCCGCGTCCTCGGGGCTCAGCGACCGCGCCTACACACACATACACACACACACCACATACTCACTTATTGACTTTTTAAACATAGTATTGGCTAAAGGCTTTGTAGACAAAGCCACACTAGGTTTGGCTACAAGGCTTTCAGCGCAAAAGAAAACATTGTGTTGTGATACATTAAATAAAATATACCATTACCATTACTATTACAGCCTATCAAAAGTCCACTACTAAACATCGGCCTCCCCCAGAGATTGGCTCATAGGGATGATATTCGCCATAATGGCCACGACAACCGCAGTTATTTTTTGTGAGCTGTTATAAGAAAAATGCTGCTCCCAGTGGCGTAGCGTAACTTACATGGGCCCTGTATGAAAATTTGTTGGGGGGCCCCAATGAAGAGTAAAGATTTCATAAAAGGAACAAAAACGTTTGCATTGAATTCAAATTATTATATATTGATTTTAAGTTATTCATCATCATCATTACAGTCCTTCACAAGTCCACTGCTGAACATAGGCCTCCCACAAGGAATGCCACAAAGCACGGTCCTGAGTCACCTGCATCCATCGACTTCCTGCATATCTTACCAGGTCGTCACTCCATATAGTGGGGAGACGCCCTACACTTCGTCCGCCGGTACGAGGCCACCACTCGAGAACCTTTTTTCCCCATCGGTTGTCGGTTCTTCGAGCTATATGGCCGGCCCATTGCCACTTCAGCTTACTAATCCGTTGGGCTATGTCGATCACTCTGGTTCTACTGCAGATATCCTCATTTCTAAGTTTATCACGCAGAGAAACTCTGAGCCCTCTCCATAGCTCACTGAGCGACCTTGAGCTTCCTCATCCGGCCAGCAGTAAAGGACCACGTCACAGAACCATAGGCCATCAATGGCAACACGCACTGGTTGTACAGTCTCGTTTTCAAATTTTGAGGTATACCTGACGAGAAGATGTGCCGTAATTTCCCAAACGCTGCCCAGCCGAGTTGAATCCGTCGATTGATCTCTCAGTCGAATTTGGACTTACCTAGTCGGACTATTTGTCCCAGGTAAACATACTCGTCAACAATTTCGAGCTTAGTGCTCCCAACAAATACCGGCATAGGTGTGACATGGACATTAAACATGATCTTTGTTTTGTCCATGTTCATCTTAAGACCTATCCGTTAGGAAACACTATTGAGGTCATTAAGCATAGTGCTTAGGTCCTCCAGCGATTCTGCCATAAGGACTATATCGTCGGCAAATCAAAGGTGAGTGATGTACTCGTCATTGATGTTAATACCGTATACTTTTCAGTCCAGAAACTTGAAAACGTCTTCCAATGCAGCGGTGAAGAGTTTCGGGGATATAACATCACCCTGTCTTACACCTCTCTGTAATTGGATAGGTTTCGTACTCTGGTTTTGTACTCGGATAGCCACAAGTACAAGCACTTGCACACTTCACAAGCGCTGAAGGGACTGCAGCACCGCCCGAATTTCGACGAAATCAAAGGCTCTCATAGTCCACATACGCCAGACATAGTGGCAAATTGTACTCTTAGGATTTCTGTACAATTTGCCGAAGGGTGTGTATGTGGTCTATGGTGCTAAAGCCTTTTCGGAAACCGGCTTGTTCGGGAGACTGGAAGTCGTCAAGTCTGCGCGCGAGACGATTCGTAATGACTCTCGAAAACAGAACGTAGACGCGGCTCAGAAAGGAAATCGGTCTGTAGTTCTTCAAGAGAGCGTTGTCACCTTTCTTGAAGAACAAGACCACCGCACTTCTGCTCCACGCCCCCGGTGTAATGCCACCATGGAGGACTTCAAGTACCGGTTTTCCACCCGCTTTCAGAAGCTCCGCTGTAATTCCATCCTCGCCTGGGGCCTTGCCTTTTTTAAGGTGCTGTAGAGCCATTCTAATCTCGCTCAGACTGACGTCCGGTATATCATCGGAATAGTGTCGGATAAAACTCGCACTTGGATCGTTACTCACACTTACGTGTGGCTCCAAGGATGATATGTACAGCTACCCATAGAACCTCTCAATCTCACTCATAATCTCAGGTGTCCCGGAAACGACGCTGCCACACTCGGTCTTCAGCTTCGACAGTTGGCTCTTTCTGGCAGACAGATCTCTAGCAAAGACTTTTGTGTCCTGGTTCCACCCGCTTCTTTAATACGAGCAGTATTAAAGTTGCGTAAGTCCCACCGCATGCATTTGGATATCTGTCTGTTCAGTTGCCTGTATGCTGTCAAATCTACTGAAGACTGCAGCTTCATATCCCGTCTAACAGCCATGAGATCAAGAGTGTAATCGGAGATTTTTTGTGTTCTTCTGCGGCGGATCTTGCAAAACTTAGCTCCGACCGCATGGACAGTTTCCACGAGCTTGTCATTCATATCGTCCACTGCATTGCAATCTTCTAGGCACTGAAAACTGTTTCGTAGCTCGAACTGAAAGGTTGCGGGACTTTGGATTAGAGCACGAGGGACGAAGCGTTGACTTCATTAGACGTGACCTCTCCAACTCAACGGTTAGGTTCAGTGTGCCTCTCACCATTCGGTGATCGCTACCGGTTTCAGTCACTGAACAGTTGTCGTCTGGTCGTCATAATGAAGTCAATCTCATTTTTTGTCGAACCGTCGGGGATCGACCAGGTCCACTTCCTGTGGGCTGCTTCTGGACGAAAGAGTTCATCATAAAGAGTCCCTCTTTCACCATGAAGTCGGCCAGCTGCTGGCCCCTTGGGGTCCGTTGCCCTATTCCGGAAATTCCCTACTTTCAGCTCACCGTTCTCTCTTGTGCCTAGTTTTGCGTTGAAGTCTCCCATTAACACCGTATAGTAGGTTTTGGAGGAATGCATGGCTCTAGAGATATCCTCATACATGTCCTCCACCTCCTCATCGGGGTGTTCCGAGGTTGGTGCGTAAACCTTTATGACCTTCAGCGAATACCATTTGGTGATTCTGAGTATAAGGTACGCAACCCTCGTCGACACACTCCCAATCTTTACAACATTGTTAACAAGAGACTTGTGGACGATAAATCCGACACCTCCACCACTTGCCGGATTCGAGGATTACCGTGGCCTCCCCTTCTCGTCGGACTTCGGATAATCCTATGACATTCCAGCGCAACTGGTCTATCTCTTCTTTCAGCTCCACAATCTTCTCGTCAGTCCTCAGGGAGCGTGCGTTATAAGTTACCAGGTCGAGTCGTCGTAGGTGGCTACAGAACCTCCACCGGAGATTCTTAGCACCTCCTGCCCCGCCGTTACCATGGTCGCCACTGTAGCCAGGAATAGCGGGGCCGCCGGGGACTGGGGGCCATCTTTTCGTTACTTTCATGGGGGTATATTGCCATAGTTGCCACGCTTGGCGAGCGGGTTGGCAACCGCAGTTTTTTTATTGTTGTTTCAGCCTCAGTTTCCCTCTGTCGCCTTTTTCGCCACCCACGGGAAGATATAGGGTAGTGAGTTTTCTCCACTGCCACCCGTGCCACTACACGGGTTTTTGAGTTATTACTTACAATTAATACTCCTAGGAACTAAGCTAGCCAAACAATTCAAATCAAATATACACTTTTCGTGCCTTTTGTTCGGCGAACACAGCTGAAGAAGATTCGGCTGCATTCATAGCTGAAGACGATTTCAGTTTTACTAAATTCTTTACTTCTATAGACAATAGTGATAGCCTTTCCTGTCCCATAGAAGTCCTTGGAATTTTTGTTCACACACGTTTGGGGCCCCTGTAGCCCGGGGGCCCCGTATCATTGATACGGCTGATACGGCGGTAGCTACGCCCCTGGCTGCTCCCCATCTACTAGTTCAGTTTCCCTCTGTCGCCTCTTACAACATCCACGGGGTAATATAGGATAGTGGACATTTTTACACCATCACTACATGATTACGATTTTTGAGGAGATTTGGCGACAGCTTAAGCCAATAGACAGTCGATAAAAATAGTATCACGCACCTAAACGGACATAATAACCTGAGTCCCTCCTGTAAGACTATTTGTGGGGGAGGCCATGTACCGCAGTACTTTTGATAGGCTGTAACAGTAATGCTATAGAAGCTATCACTTGAAAGATATTGAAAATAAAAATTACAAACCTGTTCCTTGAGCTGTTCAATTATGTTCGCGTAATTCTTCAGCTCGTCTGTTACGTCTTTGTGTTTCTTCAGCAGACTCTGCACCTGTGCTTCATCCACACCCGTGTCCTCCGATGACACCAGCCTTACAAATATTTAAGTTTATGACAAATGTGCAAAATGTTTTTACGTATATTTATTTACAAGTATTGAATATACAGAGCGTATCCGAACAGGGAACCCTGTGGAAGAATAATGAACTACAGATGATTCTACAGAGCTCTAAAGCCGCCTTTTACAGACACAGTTTTCTCTATCCACTAACAATGTAGCCTATTTAGAGGTTTGGTTATTACCTATTTAAGCGATAGTACCGCTGACATTTGTCGAGCCTTTTGCCTTGCCTCTCCTATTCACTGGCATAGAATATATTCCTGCGCCATTTGTGTCGATCGACTCCCTTAAGGATTTTCTCCTGTATCGTGGAGACAGTTAATAAACATAAATTGCATAATTAGAAACATCAGGATTCGAACCCGCTGCTCACAAAACTGCAGTCATTGATTTATTAGGCTACATTTTACAGATTTATTAGGCTTTATTGTTTACTCCGTTTCTAGTATAGATAATTGTGAATTGGTATGTACGGTTTAGGAAATTTGTAGGCCTTTACTGAATTACAGTAAAACACAGGATTTTTGAAGCAGGGCAGAGCAGGCATCCAGCTGTCCAAATGCGTATTGGCAGAGCTATTTATATATAAATTTTTAGACATTCAGTTTTCCTCACAAAGTTTTTCCTCATCGTCGAGCATAATTTAAATAAATAGTTAAAATTGTAAATAACAACTTCACTGGTGCCAGTGAACACTGTTTACTTAAGTACTATGAAATTTTAAGAAGTAAACTACTGTAATTTACCATTTATTACAGACCATGTAAAGAGAGAAATATTTAATATTTTTATACATAATGATTATAAGGATTACCTGAGAGTATCAAGCATCCATTGGTCAATATCATCTGCATCAGCAAACAGTTGGTGATATCTGACAGCCGCGTCCAAACGGTTCTTCCTTAACGAAACCACGTCCAGCAGATGATTCCATTGGGACAAGATATCACGAAGGCGATCCTATACCATAAAGAAAAAATTATATCTAAATACAGTTACATTATTACTGTTAGGGTATTATTTAGAATAAATTTATTTTTCAATCGATTTGACCTACATTATAAAATTATATAAAAAATTTTAAAACAAAAATAAATAGTTTTAATATAAAAGTTTACTCCCACTAATTTTTCATACAAACAACCCCCCATTTTCGCAGGCTTTCGTGACGTCATTTAATATTTCAACGAAATTTACTCAGTATTTAAATAGTAAGTAATTAAATATTGGTGATCAATTGTGAATAAACCTACACAGTTATGAATTAAAACTACTCATTCTCCTTCTAGTCTCTGGTCTGAATATTTTATATCTGGCTTTTATGGACAATGTCGGTAGTATTGTCCACAATGTCAGAATGGTCTCATATGTTCATGGTCTACGATAGATGGTTGTATAATATAAACACTTTACAGCCTACAATATGAGGAGTCCAGTCAGCAGTGGACTATTTACAGAATAAATAAGAAACCGAAAACAGGAGTAAAAAAAATTAACCGAAGTAGAAGGAAGGTGGAAAGTGGAGGGTAGAAGTGGCAGAAGGCTCACATACCTGTATCCTGTCGGCGCCGAAGTGTCCCTGCGAGATGAGCTCGTCGCCCACCGCGGCCACGCTCATGAGCTGCGGCTCGTGCGCCTGCACGTCGGCCTCCAGCGCCTTGTGCTTTGAGATCAGCAGGTACACTGGAAATGACATTTTTTTAATCCAATTTTCTTGCCTAAATATTCTTATGCTTTACGAATTACGAACCGAGAATTTGAAAGTCGTGAATTCGAATCCACCATTAAACTGTCAACGTTAACGCAAGCATTTTAAGCTTACTTTATTTTAGATTATTAGTAATATTAAAAACGCCCGCAGTTACAGACGTCTAGAACCTTTCAAGCTGCTCCAGATGTTATCTTGGTGTTTTTCAAGTAACATAACGAAATGATTATACTGCTATTTATCCGAGGGATTTATTTAAGTAATTTCAATGGTCGTCTTTTACACCATGTATCAACGCCACTATAAAATTATTCTCTATATATATCTCTAGTGCCTTTACCACAAAGCAAACATAAAATTTGGACCTAAATATATTGCGTTTCCTTTCTTTAGCAATAATGATTATTATATTACACTACCAAAAATGTTATATAAAATTCTACTCAAACTTAATCATTATTTATGGCTATAAAAACTATTTACAACCTTAAACCGAGTCTCTTAGAGATAAAGAAATAAATATATTAACTTTGGCCTCTCAGTATATTTACGAAAATTTAATGTATGTTCACAAAAACAAAGATAATTTTAGTAAAAAAGTGATATACACTCAGTAAACACTAGGAACAAACAGAGGCTACACCATGTATCAACGCCACTATAAAATTATTCTCTATATATATCTCTAGTGCCTTTACCACAAAGCAAACATAAAATTTGGACCTAAATATATTGCGTTTCCTTTCTTTAGCAATAATGATTATTATATTACACTACCAAAAATGTTATATAAAATTCTACTCAAACTTAATCATTATTTATGGCTATAAAAACTATTTACAACCTTAAACCGAGTCTCTTAGAGATAAAGAAATAAATATATTAACTTTGGCCTCTCAGTATATTTACGAAAATTTAATGTATGTTCACAAAAACAAAGATAATTTTAGTAAAAAAGTGATATACACTCAGTAAACACTAGGAACAAACAGAGGCTAGTGATACCAGTCTCTCGACTCCACACAGTCATTAATTCATTCTTGGGGCAATGACAAAAACAAAAACTGTATAAAAAGGGTGATAAGAGGACTGGTTCTTTTCTCGCTCAAAGGCTAAGTATAGCCATTCAGCGGGGAAACGCAGCCAGCGTTCTTGGCACGATACCCCGGGTAGTTAGACTATATGATAATTAAGTTTCTAGTTTTAGTTTTTTTTTATTATTATAGTTTTTAATATTGTATATAATTAAATTATTATTATTGAAAAAAAGGGTTATCTATACAAATAAATAAAATTGAAGTGTCTGTTGTACAGTTTTTTATTGAATGCATATGAAAGTAAATACGGTACTTATAACTAAAATACAGTTTTTAAAATTTTTGTCTGTCTGTCTGTCTGTTTGTTCCGGCTAATCTCCGAAACGGCTGGACCGATTTTGACGGGACTTTTACTGCCATATAGCTGATTTCATAAGGAGTAAACTTAGGCTACTTTTATTTTAGAAAAAGAATTAAGGCTCCGCGTAAAAACATAAAAACCCTAACACGGGAGCGAAGTTGTACAGCTAGTTATAATATAAATGAATATATTATATGGTTGATAATAACCCCTGCGAATGAGGTGGTCGCTTCCAAGCCGTTTCTAAAATAAATTTTGTAAATAGTTTGTAATCATTTATATTGTAAAATTTATTTTTTTAAATGTTCCGCTGGGTTTCTTCCTGGTTCTTCCCAGGACTGATTTTTTTCGAACCAGTGGTAAAGTAAAAAAATACTTTCAATAACAATTACTTGTAATCAATATGGAATAAAAATTATTCTATTATTCACCAATATAATATAAGATATGCAGGAGCTAAGCTCTTGCCGTAAATTTCACAGTATACGAGCAGCAGCCGGATGCAATTTTAAATATTATGCAGGTTCACATTGTTGCCCTAAAGCTCCGGCTACACGCAGCGATTTGCATCCGCACAAATTGTGCAAAAAATTTGCGCAAATAACACGGCGCACTGCACAACTTCCATACGACAGCATCTTGGTAGCGGAAACAGTTTGTACAGTTTTCGCAAAGGACATGGGTGGCATCCACATGCCGTCTTAACGTACACGCTTGCATGTGCAATTTTAGTTTGAGCAAATTAAGTATCAATTTATGCAAACCATTTGCACGGTATACCGTTTTCCAGCTTAACGTACATACTTGTTACTTGCACATATTCTAATTTGCACAAGCAAATTAGAATATATGCATGTAAAATTGAGCGTGTCTAAAACCATCAGAAAGTGAAGTCCTGTGCCCAGCAGTGTGACGTATATAGGCTGTAGCTTTAACATAATTGATCTCCTAACTATTTACTGCTGATGAGACATATAAGGTAACTGTTCATATTAGTCTTATTATGTTGTTGTGCAATAGTATTTTACACACTTGTGTAAATTAATATGCCTACTAACCTGTGGTCAGATCGTGACCAATGTCGTCAACTGATACAATCTGCTCTTTCTCCTTGATCCAGTTCTCCTCATCGGCCATATCCCAATAGAACTGCCACAGTTTGCGGCTGTCTTCCAGGCGCTTCCTACGCACAAAAAAAACAATATTTTAGTTTACATTGCGGTAAATCGACTAAAAATATATTAATTATATAATATATACATTCACTATCAAAACGAAAACACAGTGAGAGATTTGTGATAAGTGAAATCAAGATTCTAATTTGATAATAAAAAATGATTTCTTACCTGCGTTCAACAGCCAAATGTACAAGCTCAGCGTAGGCATTTTCGAGCTGCTGAATGCGTTCCACAGTAATGGCCGGGTCGCAAGGACGGTAGCCACCCTCTTCTTGTTCCAGAAATCGTTGCGATTGACCCACAACAACCTAAAATTTAAGTAATAAAAGTTACAGAACTTGCTAAATCAAGTAATTTTTACCAATTAAAATATACAGAATGAAGAACTTATTGTTTTGATTATAGGGTCAATATAAAGGAAATGTTATCAAGTTTTTAATTAACAAACCTTGACACGTTCACCCAGCACATTTATATCAGCCTCTACTAGAGCATGCTTTTGCAGTAAATCTTCAACGCCCATCAGATGCTTGCCGTAGTCGTCCGTCAGCAGCCGCATCTTAATTTCTTCCATGGAATCTAAAATGTAGAGCATTTCCTGCAATAGAAAATATTAAAATGTGAAACTGACCAAATTTGCTGTCTGCTGCTGTCACATCATCACATGTGTCATTCAAAGAAATATCTCATTTAAAAAAAAAACAATAAAATAATTAATGTCAAGTACTAGGACTACTTGCGTAAAATTAAAATTAATATTCTTTGATCTGTAAGCTTCCTAAACTTCCAACATAGGCATTTTTACATAACCTAGCTTTACTATTGCCGATTTTGGTTACTACAACAAAATGTTACGACCAGTTAGTTACATTTCACAATAGCTTAAAACGTTTCGTTATGTTATACTGTCGCGTTTCTCTGATACAGCATTATAGTCTATCTTTGAATCTTTAGCATAAGTGGTACTTTGGTTACGGGTAGGTAAGGTAGGGCACTACATTCACGTACACACAGAAGCAGGGGGTGTACCAGGAGAACATAATTATCAGTAGTAGATGAGTGTCCACATGACAGACCTGGAAGTTCTGTTGCAGCTGCAAGGAGAGCTCCAGGCGAGCCCGGCGCGCGCGCAGCAGCTCGAGCAGGTAGGCCCACAGCCGCAGCACGTTGTCCCTGCGCGCGCACACTCGCTCGATGTCGTGGTATCTGCAACACATATGTGTTCACATCATTAGTTTTGACCCACTATACCAATACTCGGTGTAATATGACAAAACCTACAATCTGTAATTTAACTATTAAATTTTTTTTTTTATTTTCTTGGGACTAAAAATATAAAAACTAAATAGCCCGTGTAGTGGCGGTGTAAGAATATCTACTGTCCCATATGTGGGTGTCGTAAATGGAGACAAAGGGAAACTGAAAAAGGAAATGGGCAGAGGCATCTTCCTAATAACAACTTAAAGTAATAAAAAACTGCAGTTGCCAAGTGTGGCAACTAAAGCCAAATTCTTCCTATGAGACAATTTATGAAGGAGGCCTATGTGCTGTGGACTTTTATAGGCTGTAACGGAATAAAAAATTTAAAAAAAAAGCAGTATATGGAAAAGTATACCAAGGGAAGTTAACAAGTTATCAAGGGACTAAGCGCTTGCCGTAAATTTGACATTACACTAGCAACCCGTATTAGTTCCCGCCTAGCAGTAATATTATTAATTTGCAATTTTAAGTGCTGATTTACCAATAACTCTGTATAACATATTTCGAACACTGAATAAAATATTTCAGATACATGTGCATTCCGCCAGCACATATTGGGCAGCGCGGTGGACTAATTGTTCCAAACATAAAATATAATCAAATTTGGTTGAAATTTGGATGAGACCACACAAAAGTCATACTTTACATAAAACAAAATCTTTATATATATCTCTTCTGTCCGTGTGTATGTTACTGAACCTGAAATTTTCCTAAACGCCTTGACCGATTTTAATGAAATTTTGTGTGTGATTAAATTGATTCGAGAATGGTTTAGATTCACAATTGGATACGGATCCGGTGGGCGGCGCTGTTGTCAAAATACAGAAATCACCATATCATACCATACAGGATCGCTAGTATGTATGTACATAAAAATAAAAACTAATTTAGAACCATATCCTTTTTTTATTTAAAGCCATAACTTAATGAAAAAGTACGCATATAAGAAAATCTAATAAACAAGTTTTCTAGTATGATGTGTGTTAACGAGTAAATGACAAAGTCATAAATACAAATTAATACCGCATTAAATAAAAATAACAGATCATCAGTCACCTCTCGGCTTGGAGCTCTGAGCAGACGGCCACGACGGCCTGAACACGTTCTTCGTATGCAAAAATGTCGGTTTCAATGGCCTCGTGCTTCTTAGCAGCCGCTTCTACCGCCGCCAGGTCGAAGCCGAAGTTATCCTGGCTCACCAGCCGCTGGTTCTCCGACAGCCATGTCTCGCGCATTTGTGCTTTGCGGTTGAATCTGCGTTGATAAAATATCGGATTATATATTTAAATCAAAACAAGAAAAGTGTTTTTATTTCATCTTCAAGATTTACCTGTTTCAAAGAAAAAAAAACTTTAGAAGAGCTATCAAAGCTCGTAATTTCTTGTGAGTTTCTTACAATGTAGTAAAATCGACCTGATGGGAAGCAATTACTTAAATTCAAATACATTTTTTGCCCATCTTTAATAAAGAACCAGTATACCAGGTTTCACGGGTGAGTCATCAGAGAACCTCAAAAGAAAACCTTTATTGTCATTGAGTTGAGTGAAAAGTCGAGTGTGTCACTTACTATATGAAAGATAACAGCATTATGACTATTGCACATTGTAATGTCATCGATTTAAATCAAAGTAAAACATTGACATTAGTGTTGTATCTTGTACGGAGTGTAGAGTAGAAGGAGGACCATTTCTGTATATGAAAAGTGTCCCTAAAAACACGTCCAATAAGGGTGGCGCTGCAGTAGTATAGGATAAATTTTAAAAAAAGCGCCAAAATTCATTAGAATAAGATGGAGAAATCTACTCTACACTCCATAGTATCTTGTCATGTAAAAAATATTTTCCTAAAATCAGTGATGATTTTTACATATTTGTTTACAAAGTTGGGTTATTTTTTGAAAACGCTCTTATATACCCGAATGCGATAATTTGAGATACTTAAATATACGAGTTTCATTTATTGTTCTAATTTTGTATCTGTCTTTGATGGCGTTTTCCTTTATAGTAAACCTAAAATACAGTTTGTTATTTTTATTATTATTCAGATTTCTTTTACATTTTTTTAAATTCTTAATAATATAAAATTATTATATAATATTCTAAATAATTGTTAACCATTACGATATCGAAATAAGTAAATAAATAATTGGCGAGAAGGTATGTGTATGTGAGACAAGTCTACATATATATATATATACCGTGCCGCCAGCTGGTCCAGCTTCTCCTGGCGGATGAGCTCCTCGCGCAGCGCCAGCTCGCGCTCGTGCTCGGCCTTCTCGAGGCGCTCCCAGGCGCGGTTGATGTCGTGGATCATGCGGCCCTCGCGCGGCGTGTACGGCCGCTGGTTGGCGGCGCGCATGCGCGACTGCAGCGTGAACAGCTGCACCTCCAGGTCGCCCTTCTCCACGAACCTGCCCACGTCACAGCCCACTATAGTAGCCACACTCAATACTAATTCACATAATATACTAACCAACAAACAACTACACGCCTCAAATAAATCATCAAACGCGGCAAAACGAAGTTTTTCATAGTATACAAAAATGAAGTTATATTTTTGGACAAAAGGAACATTTTGCGAACTTATTCTAAATGAAAAGTTATCGAATGATTTCCGTCAAATCCAACTCATAACATTCGATAGGATAACATAGGCACACATTATTTTTAAAAATTTTGTTACTATTCCTTACACAAGTTTATGAATGTATGCAAGATTTTCTTTAAAAATATGTATTTTTTTATATTAATATTGAGGTCAAATGAAAAATTAGTAGCTGAAAAATGGCAACAAAAAAAATTTAAACAAGAATATAATTTTTTTTATTTTATGAATACTATGCAGTATTCAATTTGATACTTGTTGCAAAGACTTAAATCATAAAGAAAAATCAAAAACGAAAATTTTATTATTTTACGCAAAATAATAAAAATTATATAGCTTTTCAAGTTTGCCTTTTTTAAAACATAAATATCCTGTTATATACATATAGTGACAACATTATTGGGAAAACTTATTGCATATCGATAATAGTTATAGATAAAAATATTTAAAATTAAAAAAAAAAAACTAAAGCTGTCCATGTTATTGTTAAGTAATATTTTAATCCGATTTTTAAACAAAATAATTATAGATCATCTTACTTGGGTGGTTTCTCGATGGTGCGATAATTGGCAAACTGTATCAGCTGTTGTCGCACTCCCTCCAGAGAATTAGCAAACGTTCTGTCGCCGAGTGCTTCGATGGTCCTCTCGATCCATTGTAGGAGATCACTAGAATTGCAAAAAAAAAGAAACAATTAATTGAGAGATAAGTCTGTACTTTACCTAAAAATAACTGAAAAATGTATATTATAATATAGATAATTTCATTATGATCATACAAAATCATATGAGAATATTTTGGAAAGCTAATAAACTTACAAAAGGCAAAGTAAAATGCAAAATATAAAAATAAATTACTTAAATAAATTAGGTAGGTACGCTTAATAATCCTAATAATAAAAGAGAAAGAGAAAGAGAGAGAGAGAGAGAGAGAGAGAGAGAGAGAGACATATAACATATATGATATAATAAAAACTATTTAGCTTACCTCGTCAGAGACTCATACTCCTGTATCATTTTTTCATTCGCCATTGCGATGCCCACGACTTTACCAATACGCTTGCCCTGGACAGTCTCTTGCTTCATCTTGCTGAAGTAGTGGTAGTATGTGACCACATATGTGATGATAGATTTCTCATCCGGGTGATCAACAGCAATATCTACAAACAAAAAGTTAATTATTAAGCATTTATCAACCATGTAAACATTTCTTACCAATAATGTAAAGCAGTATAACATAATTCTATATTTCTATGAATAAGTAAGCAAGACAAGGTTTTAATGATATTCATGAAAATATTGCTCAAAACGTAATTTATAATGTATTACGTGGGTATATATATACATTTCCGTACTTAAATTATTATTTAAATTGTGATCCTTTATATGGCTAAGTTTGGAAGTTGGAAGTCTCTTATATGCTGAAGTTTGGGAAAATCTCTTATGAAAACTTATGTAACTCTTATCCTAGTATACCAATTCCATTGTTGTGTTAAACGACAGGATGTGACTATAAACTAATTAGGCTTTTAAGGTGCTTACCTTCAGCGTCCAACAACTTGGTGAGTCCGAGCTTTTCCTCGGCGACATTAAAAGCATTGTTTAGGTTATGTATTGGGTTGCTTCTGTGTAACTTCTCGAACTGTATGAGGTCAGGTCGGTGCTTGTGTATGATGGCATTGAAAGCGAGACCGTCGCGCCACGAGGTCGTGAAATTGCGCACATTGACGTTGTTGTAGCCGGCTGTCTTCATTTGACACCACAGCAGTAGGGCATCCTTCGCCGATTTTGTTTCTTTGTTGTCAGTCTCTTCGATTGTTATGTCTTGTATCTGTGGATAAATAATACTGATATATAACTGACTTCAGTAGAGATAAGTAGGTAACATAATATGTGATATGAAAATGGATGAAAATCCATCTGGATCACCTGGATGATTGGCCGTCCACCACTGTGCGATTTAGAAGATGTTTTCTTCCTCGCACAACTTTCTTGTGGAATCGATTACCATCAGGTGAGCCGCATGCTCGTTTGCCCCCTCTCCTATAAAAAAAATATAAGAGCAGAGGCCTAAGAAAAAGATGGATGGACTGTGTTAGGGATGATATGCGTAAGAAAGATGTGACGGAAGAATGACGGCTAAAAGAGAAGAATGGAAGATGAAGAAAACTATGCCGACCCCAAATAACTTATAATAAGGGGATGAAGAAGCAGAGTAGAGATAATCAACATCTCATTGTAGGATACTAGGCCTCGTGGTAATGGCTCTAGGGCGTACTAGAGGACTTCACATGTCCTCGAAATATTTGAAGATATGTGGAAACTATTCCACACTACGCGGCATGTTAGTAAACCATAACTTATGTAGTACAATGATAAGAACTTAAGTTGAGTAGTGGCGGCGTTAAAGAATTCTCTACCCTTATCATCCAGTGGATGTCGTAATAGGGCAGGACAGAGAAAACTAAACAGGAGCTGGGCAACAGCATCATTTTGTTAAGAGCTCAAATAATAAGAAACTGTAGGTTGTCAACCCGCCAAGCGCTATGCGTGGCGTGACTATGACCAATATCCCCCTATAATGCAATCTACGGGGGAGCTTTTGATAGCTTGTAATGAAATTAAATAACCGATACGACTTAGGGACCTTCAAGAAAATATTTCAACTATGAAAAATATTAATAACACAATCTTTGAAATCGAGATAAGACGTTACCTGGAAGCGTAAGATGATAGTCCAGATGAGACCGAGGCTGAGGCGCGGGTTACCGTCGACGATGTCGTGCGAGCCCATGTTCTCTAGATGCACTCGCTGCTCGCGCAGAAACTGCAGCGCTTTGTCCACGTTCTCAAGGCAGTGGATACGCATTTTTCCCTTAGTGGGTCGCGGCTGTTGGAAACATTATAATTTATTATACGTAGTTCTATGCCTAGTCACGTATTATATATAGTCAAGCATTTATTACCACAAAAACTTTGAAATTTTAAAATAATAATAACAGTCAAATTAAATTGCGCAAGTAACTCCCGTGACCACGGCATACTGCAAAGCATTCAAAACTTATTTTATTAACGCAAAACTATTTACAAACATATTACACAAGTTAAGCTCGGAAATTTACATAAAAAAATGTTAAGTTCTTCTTCCTTCTTATATCATGCAAGTTATAAATACATATTTATATATTTATAACTTGCATGATATGCTTGCATGTTGGATTCCCGCTTGTAATTCAATACGAAGCAACAAGAAAAGCGAGATTGCATTCTTTGCGAAAAAAAGTAAGACATGTACAATTGACCGAACTGAACAAATTATGTTAAACTCGAGCGTCTCTCTCTCGAGCCATATTTGGATACAATACGGACAGTGAGCCTTTTAGGACAATGAAGGTGGCCTTTTTAACCTTCTTGCTTTCCCACGCTTTCGTGTTATTCTATAGTTATGACTGGTTCAAGATTTTCTAAAACACATAGTAATTCTTACAAAAAAAAGAGATACTAAATGGTAGAAGTATAATTAATGTTTTCTTACTGATTCTGAGAATTAGTGGTTATTTTAACATGATATTTATTTAAATTTGATTCAATGCGAAAGTTCTAGTGGAATAAAAATTGGATGTGAGTGAATCATTATTTGAAACAATATTCATGTCTATTAAACGTTTTAATGTTCATGGGTAAAAATATTTTCCTTAAACTATTCGCAGGCCTAAATAAGCGTAGAACAGACATACTCGTTTTTAAATATATGTTATATGGATATATTGATCTTAGGAACATCAGTTATTTATAAAAAACTAGCTGGCCAGGCAGAAGTTGTTCTGCCCTTTCCGACGACCCTTCCTATGAAAAAATCCTTAAATTCACAATAAAAAAATATTGAAGGTCACTTATCGGGATAAAAAGTATCCTATCTCTCAAGTTGGACCAAACTGCACACAGTGTACAAAGTTTCATTGAAATCAGTTCAGTAGTTTAGGAGTTCATCGCGGATAAACAATGTGACACGTAATTTTTATATATAAAGATTAAACACATTTCTACTTTCAATATTCACGAAGCCGAAACATTGATATGGAGAGTTTTATAAAGAAACACTCACCAATCTCTCGCCTGATAGGACTTCCAGCAATTTTATAAGCATCTTGCCGTCGCGCATGTCCTCGTAGAGGTTGCCGATACGGCAACCCACACGGACCAAATGGGAATTCACCCATTTCTGGAACGTCTTCTTCTGTACATTTTCTCGTTCGTCTGGTAAAGAAAACAAATAAATTAATGACGTTTTATGCTTTGCATCGCGTATTTATATTAGCTCTGTTTTGTTAGATCATTATAGCTAAAAACTTTATTTGCGAATACCAGATATACTATAGGATAAGTTTAAACGGAAAACATAACGTCGCGATATTTTATCTATAAGACTTACTTTCTACAAAGAGAAAGAGAAAAATACGGTTTTATATGAAAATGTTTTATAAGTTTCATTAATAAATAGATCACGCACTGTTTCAAAGCACAATGTTACGCGATTCTAAAACTAACAAAATTAAAATTAAAAGAAACTCGTAAAATGTAATTAATGCTGTAAATGGAGAATTAAGTAAGGTACATTATGTTTTACACTGGACAACAATATCAAAAGAAATCAGAAATTTTCCACCAAACATGTCTACACCGAAACTAAGGGATCAACAAATATTTATATTTCGCAATTTCAAGGAGATCCGAACGTTTATAGAAGAAGGGAATGATAACACAATAACCGCCAGTGGGGCCGCCCTCGTAGCGGCGACCAAATCGGTGGTTTTCTCCAAAACAGTGCAGGTTCCCTGCCGTCCGGTCTCGCCCGCTTCATCGTCACAACTCAGGGCAGCACTGCCCGGTGTTGGATTCGAAAAATGATACGAGTAATTCGAGCAGCATATCGGATTCTTGCACGCCTTCAAGCGGAAAGCGCGGTGCTATGCAGAAGTCTATGCGGGACAACTTCTATGTAGCCCTTCACTTTAAACCAACTTACAAAAGCACAAAGCATGACGTTCAATTAAGTTGCAAAAAATTCCTATATTACGAGATTCCACAAACATGAAATTCTTTAAGGCAGTACTCACGACAAACCTTCCACAAACTTCAACTTCACCAGCTACAATAAGGAAAAATCACTGACACTAATCACCGCTTCCTCACTAGAATGTCGAATCAATGCACAAACATTGCAATAAAATACAAAAGACGCCACAAACCTCTCAGCTCCGATACAACTTTGTCATAGTAAACTTCCAGGCCCGGCACTTCAATATCAACACCCCTTTTTATAAGGTCGTAACACTCCGTCGATGTCATATCACCAGCACTGTGAGACTGACGCCCGGCTATAAGGCAAAAGAACAGGAAGAATTAGAGCGACTAAATTCAACTGCCCGCTGAACAGGGATATTCGATACGTACGCTCCAGATGTCAACAACTTTAGGACCGGTTCAATTGAACCGCAATACTATTGAGAGAATTATTACAGTTGAAGTTATAAAATACTACAAAAACTGGAAAAACATCGAAATATAAGTCAAAATAGTTCACAAACATATCGACGAAGGTAGGCCACGAAGATGTGTTGTTAACACGCTACACACATAAGAGGAACACTCGTACTATCTGATAAGTGGTTACAAAGATAAAAATTCAGCGTCCGATAAATAGATAAGCGGTTAGAACTACGAATAGAATAGTATATTAAACTGTTCAGAACCACTGCATTTTGATGGGAAAACGGAAATTATGGTTGCAAATTCTTGATAAGCTCGGAGAGCTGTTGTTATATTTTGTTAAAATTAAATGTATTATTGACAACTTATAGTATAATAAAGAACAACAAATTTAAGTTATAAAAACATGGTTATATCAATTTATTTTCTTTCCTCTCTTTAAAGAAAAGTAACTTTACCCCCTCACTAAGTATTTCTGACATTGGACAAATATCCAAACCCAGTACAATTATTAGTACCTACCTATGTACGTTATTACAATACTTGTTGTATGAGGGAATCGATCCTGTGGGCCGCGGAGGCGCAGCCGGGCTTTCATGTTCTAATAATTGTCATATTATGGTAATAAAATTTTTATTTTAGTTTTTACTGCAACTATTTCAATCAAAATGTAATATTTTAATATTATTATTATTTATTTAATTTCAAGTATGTAGGACTCTTTATTACATAAAATTTTTAAGAATTATAATCATTATAAAATTTTAATTAAATACTCTACTATTAAAAATAATGGGAGTACAGTCGCTAAAAGTTTAAAAATAAGTTCTTACATCAAATCAAATACATATATATAAAATAACCTTTCAGATGAAAAGTTAAGAAGTACTGAAAACGATTGTCTAAATATTTGAAATCGACGAACGGTACTATTTTTCGTGAGCTAATCGTGGTATGTAAGCGGTAGGTAGGGGTCACGGTCGATCACACCGAAAAAAAAAATACATTCTAATAATAACAGACCTCAGCGCAATGTCTGTAAAGTATCAAGAGTTTAGGTAACTAGAATCTCTTGAATGAAGTGGCATAACTTACTAGATAATTAATAGAATCAGACGGTAGCAAAAATCCATGAATAAGATGTGCGCGGATCTTACTAAATAATTTTAACATCAATAGCAAGACTACAATGACAGGTAGAACAATGCATAAAGAAATTTAGGAAAAACTATTTGAAAAATTAAATGGCTTCGACTAACAGCCTCATTTTACGTAAGTTTTTAGAGGGTAAAGTACACACTAGTATTAATAATACTAAACATCATTGCCAGTCTGTGGTACTTTTACATTTTTTCTTTTTAGCGTTCACACGCAATTCAATGAGTCGTGATAAAACACAAAGTCACATATTATGCTCACACGTTACTTACGTTACCGTTATCGTTACAGCCTATCAAAAGTCTACTGCTGAACATAGGAATCCCCGTAGATTAGAGAATATAATAGCACTCACAACGCGGGATGGTCGGCGGTGTTATCCCCCCGTCATCAAGAGTCGAATTGGACGCAAAAAGGGAGCCTAAAAGGTCGGCTTTGTCTTTTGCGGCTTGGGCCAGTGAGTCGTCCTCCCTGTGCAGAGATGGTAGTGATGGCTTACAGAAATTCCCTTGGACAGCCTTGGCGTGAGACCAGAATGCACGGGTTCCCGAAGGAAGGCGAACTAGTTTCTCGCCAATTCTGCCAATGTGCTCTGACTTTGCCTTGGCAATAACTCTTTTGAAGGACCTGGAGGCGAAGTTATACTTCTTTTTAAGTATGCTGGTGTTTACATCCCGACTCGCCGAAGCCGCAGCCCAGGCTTGATAATACTCCTGCTTACTACGTAATGCAGTCTTACAGGAGCGACCAAACATTTCCTGTAGTACCACATCAGTGACAGAGTCAACAACAGCGCTGGGATCATCCGGCGAGAAGCAAACCGGCCCCCATGGGTGGGATGCAAAGAAAGACCGCATTCCTTCCCAATCCGCCGACCTGTAATGCCAAACACGGCGGCAACCTGCAGAACGCAACCGCGAGGGGAGCGTGAGTGGCACCACACACAGGATCAGACAATGGTCCGAAGAGCCGAGAGGGGCATCGATGGAAACCTGATATCCGTTCGGATGAGAGGTCAGCAGAATGTCCAACAGAGAAAGTGTATGATCCTCCACATCTGGAACCCGCGTAGGCGAAGTAACCAGTTGTGTCAGACCATATGCCAAGGCAATTTTGTTGTTATTAAGAAGAAACTGCTGCCCATCACCTGGTTTGCTTTCCTATGTCGGCTCTTACGACACTTGCAGGACGATATGAGGTAGTGGATATTCTCACACCACCACTACACGATCAAATTACGTTACTCCATTCCAATTAAGTTACTCCAGTCTATGGTATAATGGTGGTTATCAAACCAGTTAAGAAGAATAATACGTCACACAGAGCATATTATGTGGCAGGACTCCTTTTCTGTATAGAAGTCTGTCTTTGTTTGACCCTCTTACCTATTTCTGCTTTATATTAGATGTATCTTCTGCTTTGTTTAAAGAGTTAAAAATCCGGTATAATTATTAACAGACTTTTTTTTATAAAATAAGGGTAACAAACGCGCACGCAGTCCAAATGATGGCATGTGGATGCTGTGGCCCATAAATATCTACATTTAATTAAGAATCAAAATTCAGATGCGTTGTCACCCCTGAGGACTGAAATGGAATGCCTCGTTTCCAGTAAAAACGGTCTTCGGTTCTCTACACTCACCATTCGAAACACAGCAGCGTTAAGCTGCTATTGACATGTTGAGACTGTGAAGAACACAAGAGTTACCCTTGAGGGTGACAATGTATCTGAGGTCCTTCCATCAGGTGGACAGTAAGCTTGCTTCTCAACATAATATTACAAAAAATAAAATGTATTAACCGGCTAGCGCTTTAATGCGCGATCGTTCGTAAAGCCTCGATGATGAGTTGCCGCCGTCGTACTCGAAATCGTCGATGATCTCCTGGCCGTGGCCGATTGACGGGTCCCAGCGGGACACCGAGATGTCGGTCGTCATCGCGACCTATTGTCACCTCACCGCGCCACGCTCAACGATCTGAAACCAAAAGAAACGTTGGATTAAACTTAAAATAAAAAGGCGAAAGAGAGAAATGAAACAGGTCCCGTAGTGAGTGTCGTAACCTCGCAAGAGACTACTATGATAAATGCCAGAAAATCATATGGCTTCTGATAATACCAATCATCTCGTTACGTCACACATAATACACATAGACCGGTGACGGACAGCAGTGTCAAAGATGCCAGATTTTTAACTTTGCGATCGTCAATTCAACAGCCAAGCGTTTAATCCTTCCTGCGACGGAAGAAAGAAGATTACATTGTATTATGGTGAGAGAATATTTAAATATTATAATCCAGTGCTTGACTACTATTCAACCAGATGGTAAGTGGTGATGCAGCCAAAGATGGTGAAGTGCAGTGACTTAACAAAAGCCTATTCACTCTTGCCTTGAAGACACCTACATTGTAATCGGATGGAAAGACGGATACTGTGAAATTACTCCAATCCTTTGCTGTACACATTCAGTACGACGAATCAGTCGATAAATCGTTTGGTTCTAATGCGTGGTATGTCGACAACGCAGGGGTCGAGACTGATGATATGACAAATGTTTATTTTAACAAGTTAAACGAATTTGTTTTATAAATTAATAGCTGGTACAAGGCACGTTGCAGCCGCAGAAGAAATATCGAATAATCGTTTTAAATTTGGACGAGATATATTGTTTAATTTTGAATGGTAATACATTCATTGAAATTAAATGATATAATGACTTTCAAATAAATTTGTCGGTACGATACACTCGCCACCTACTGTAAGTTAACTATAGGTACTATCCCTATAACCTTCGCGCAAGTGCAAGCAATAAACTGACAGTTTTAGCGCAATCTGATGAACGGTATGAACAAACAAAAAATATTTTTATATAAATATTAGATATACAAAAATTTTAAAAGTACTATAGCGAAAATTACAGAACGATTTCTTGTATTATTAATAATAATTTGATATGTAAGTAGTCACTAGACACTGTACTGGTTGGTTGTGAGTAGATTGTACCTCAGATTAGTCTGAGATTGCAACATTGATTTTTACGTATGATTACTCAAGGCCACAATATTAATTTTGTAAAAAGTTACACATATTAAATTAATCAAAGGCTTCAGTGCCACAGATTATGGGGGTGGATCATTAAGCGTGCACGACAAACAAACACGTTTAATTAATGATTTATTGGCTACGATACCGAGACTACACGATTAGTGTCCCGATTGTCGGCCGCTCGAAATGGATAATTATGCCGAACGCGCGCTGGGTCGTAAGCTGGATCTATATAAATAAAATTATAGAGGTTTGCAGTTGTGCGCACATCACGGAAAAACTACTGGATAGATTTCAATTAGGTTTTCTAAGTTTTATTTCTTAGACACTTGGCCCTTATCTATCTAAAAAAATTATTGCGATATCTTCACTTAATCTAAAGTTATTAAAGTTTTAAGAAAGTTTTCTCCTCGAAAACTAAGCCGATTAAATTATTTTTGGTATCAATATTTAAAGGAAGAATAGATCTATGCTCCTATCACTTGTTTTAATCTTAACAACATTTTCGAATTTCTTTGGTAGTCGTCTGATTATGGAGGTAAAAACGGGGCATTTTTTCTAGGTTTTTGGAGTCATATTTATTTTTGTAATAACTTTTTTGGAAAAAAATAAATGACAGGGGCATGCCTTCAATAGACCTAGATTTTTATAAACACAAACAATTAATCTAGAGGCATTATCTAGGAAGAGAATAGGGGACTACATTTGTATGGAAAAAATGCAGCCCTACGCTCTTAAAACCTAAAGATTGGATTAATAGAAGGACAAAGAATTATTTAAATACAAAAAAAAAACAGCTAAATTTCAGTTCAAGAATAGGTTACCTATGGATAGACATAAATCACAGTAGAACATACAATGCGCATAACATACTAACAATCTAATCTACAATGAATCTACAAGCACTTCCACCGGTTAATATCGGACGCACCCATAGCCATAAGCTCAAAGTGTAAAAAATTGACCCAAAATAACTGATTCACCTTGAAGTCCGCCGCGGTGAATAATAAACAATTTAACCGGTTAACAATATTACGCAAACACAGGTTTATTCTCAACACGACTTACTACACACTGGACCTCACAGAACAAGAATATGTACATGCACTTTGCGTCCACATACTTTCGTTATTTAACATGACGTCATGTACGATAAGATTAGATATTATGTATTTCTTTGCATTTCATTAAATATCACTCGTACCTACAACAATTTCATTTCGTTTACAAAATATTACTGTAAGTGATACACACAGTACGTTTATGTTACGAATAAATTAAATTACCTTTGCCTTCAACAAGATAAAAAAACACGTAAAAGACGTCAGTTCTAAACAACACAACTGACTTATTTTAGTCATAAGGAGCTGCTTCAATCACTTTATCTAGTCGTACTGTTCTTATCATTAGTAAAACTAATTTCGTCGTCATATGTACCTATTGGAAATAAATTAGTTTTTCTACTGATAACTGACTCGTCAAAATATGTAACTCGTTATAAAAATATTGTATTGTTATATAATTAATTTTGTGTAAATAAACTTATAAAATAATTTATTTGGCCTGTTTGAAATTAATGCATTAAAATAACACGTTACAGTTCCAAATTTTGCGAATGACGAAATTGCCCCTTAAACCACATAAAAACCTAGTTATATTATTAGGTATTTCTTTTATTAGGAAATTTCTAAACGCAAAATATGTATTTCATTATCAAAAATATTAAAACGTTTTAAAATAAAGCTTTGTCTCTTATGGTTAATAAGAGTAAAAAGACAACAGTTAGTTCTTATTCAAAAATATATCAGTTCGTAGTATGTATTATAACACAAAGTACTACATAACTACAATAAATTATACCCTTCGGTTCTCTGGGCCATAAAATAAAAAAAGTTAATGATCACAACACTTTCGAAATTATCTTAAGAGCTATAAGAGCTAGTCTAAACACAACATGTAAATTTTGATCTGCAAATTTAAAACGGCAGTGAAATCAATTAGACTGGATACAATAATTGCATCTGGGACTTGCTAAGCAACTCATAGATAGTCCAATAAACATAAATCCTCCTATACTCGTATGTGCATTTTGTCTCACTTTTTGCGATCCATAGCCATTTTTATAACCTAGGTTTAACATATTTGCAATTATTTTCAAGGAAACAATTAATTCTATAATAACTAGCGTAGCACTATTAAAAAAATTAATTATTATCTAAAGAATAATATCATACATAGGCTGCAAGGAATGCCACAAACCGTGCTTTGAAACCTGAGCCACATACATCCATCGATCTTCTGCATGTCTTACGAGGTCGCCACTCCATCTAATGGGGGGACGCCCTATACTTCGCCTGCCGGTACGAGACTGCCGCTTCTGGTTTGGGAATTCCCGACAATTTAAAAGTCCCGGAACTCGGGACAGCCTATAATCAAAGTCCCGGGAATACCCGGAACTTCGAGACTTTTAACAAAAAGCTTTTTTGATTATTAAGATGGGTAAGTCTTTTTTGAAGAATTTTAATCGAGTTTAATTTCTGGTGAAACGTATTAAAAAAGAGGTATTTTTTTATAAAAATCCACATTTATTAAACAATTAAACGGAAAATTAAATAACTTTGACGTTAATTTCAGCCTTAGTAATTGCTTTGTTTATTTCTTTTCGTCACACACAGATGCACTTCTAAACGGTTAAATCTTATAGTTATGAAACGAACTTAGTTAAAAATCATACTAATTCTTAATAACTTTACTATTATCTAGTAATTCTAGTATCTAATCATAGTTCATAATCTCATTGTTAATTCTCATAATCACATATTTGTTTCATTTATTGTGTTGCATACTCCGGTAGTTACGTAGTAGACCAAGTAATTATTCATTAAATTAACACATGGCGCTAGGCTCCTTCAATTATTTGAAAATAAAAATGATTACATAACAATTTCGACAATCTTGTCTCGTCTCGAGTCTCGACCCGAAAGTCCCGGGACTCGCGACAACTAAAATTACGAAAAGTCCCGGGACTTCGAGACACGAGACGTCCCGGGACCCAAACCTTACTGCCACTCGAGAACCTTTCATCCCCTTTGGCTGTCGGTTCTTCGAGCTATGTTGATGTGGCCGACCCATTGCCACTTTAGCTTACTAATCAATAATATAATCAAATATTGTTACAACACAAAACAAAAAACTAAACTTTTTAATTATTTTGTTTAAAATAAGTAAAACAAAAAAAAATCAATTTAAAATAGTCACGTGACTGTCATAAATAGCATCCACGGTTATGTACAAAAAGATCTAGTGGTATCTAATTGGAGCAAGGTCTACATGGAAATTATCCCAAGAATAGCTAGTTGTATAGAAAACTTTCCAGCTGGAGACATGGCTATAAAACAAATTGAAGTAGACCTTTTAGAGTAATTGATAGTAGACGGTGGTATAATCGATTCGTATATCGCAGGAACAAGTTAGATGAAAAATGTCCAGATCGGCGACAGGTTGCAGCATCAACGTAGGTACATGTCGCAGTAATGCGATCGCCAATCTGCGTGCCATGAGTTGCGTTTACGTCAAATCATTTGTTCTGTTTATTGTACATAATCTTTATATAGAAGGATTACGTGTCACGTTGTTTGTCCGCGATAAACTCCTAAACTTCTTAACTAATTTTAATGAAAATTTGCACACTCTGTGCAGTTTGGTCCAACTTGACAGATAGGATAGTTTTTTATCCTGATAAGTGACACTCAACATTTTTTAATTACGAATTTAAGGATTTTTTATATGAAGGGTCGTCGAAAAGGGCAGAACAACGTCTGCCTGGCCAGCTAGTTTATTATATAAATACATACCAAGTTAGTACTCGTCTTTTTCGTTTTTTGAAACCATAA